TTCAAAAACTGAAACAGATTATAAACTACAAGCTTCATATCATTATATCAGTACATAGTGAGACAAATCTGTAAGCCAGAAAATCATGCTCTTAATAATTTCAGGCAGTAGATAACAACAGCAGCAATAAAAAGAGGAATGTATAGGCCAACGAGAGATTTTTGGAAAAGGTAAAACAGAGGTGATGTAGATTATGCTACTGTCCTCATAAGAAATTTTAAAATTATGTCATAGCAGCAAGATTATGGAGGTGGGCCTACAATGGTAAGCTCGAAATAAGGCTTAAGAGCCTTCTCCATTCCCTTCTGAGTGAAAATCACCAATAGACCTCAACAGTATACACAAGGCAGGTACAATAACCAAATCTCTATCACTATCACTTCCCTAAACATCAAAACCGAAACTCCAAATAAAAACGTTAGCAAACTGATGAATCACAGCCTTGTAGGAGGAATATCAATCAATAACCAACAGTTAAACAAGAAGCAACTTGAATCGGAAAAAAACTCATGCTTTACAAATTGGAATTTCAATCAATAACCAATCTTTCAGGAGGAGAACCTAAATGGTAGCTAACCCAGAATCAATTCAATTTCGAAACAGTGTTAAAAGGAAGAAGAGAAGATGACGAACCGGCGAGCAAAATCGGTGGTGATGTCGACATATGTTTTGATGGGATGTTTGTAGAGAAGATGAGATTAACGAACCAGGATTTGGGTTTAGGGATCTTCGAATCTTATGAAATCGGAAGATTATTTGGGTGTGGAGAATTTCTTTTGCCTCTCGCCATCGTTTGTTCGTATAGTCGGAGAGAAGAAAAAGAGAGATATTTAACAGAAGCTGCTCAGCTTAAGACTCGAGTTTCAGAAGATATTTGATTCTTTTTTAAATCCGCTTTTATCTTTAAAACCTTCCTAAAATCTACTTTAAATCCTCCAATGGAGGTGGTGCTCTTAGGATCCTGCATGTTTGTAAGGAACAAAAATGTGGCTAAACCTTGCTTGAATTGAGTGGAAACAATGCGATTCATAGTCATGGACGATGCTGACATACAGCTAGCTGCTCGTTCAGTTCTGTTTGCTGCGGTTGGAACCGCTGGTCAACGTTGGACAACTTGCTGGTACAAATAAACTAATCCCATCATAGCCGCTTTTGAGTTGATTCTTCTCCTACTAATCCTTTTCCTTAATCCTTTAAATGTTTTTTTTTTTATGTTGAAAGCTTATGCATGAGAGTGCTATGAAAAAGTAGTGGAGCAACTCCTTACTTCATACAAACAAGTCAAAATCGGCGATCCTCTTGATAAATCCTTTCATGCAAACACCAATCCTTCATTACTTTTACATCATCTCTTATCACATCACTTATTAATTTTCCAACGGCTTCAACCAAAAAAACATCTTCATCTACAAACTATTTCAATTATACATTGGTGATCTGATCCGTTAAAAGCATCTCATCAAAAGTTAAAACCAATTCAAAACACAATGATGCAGATTGTTGAAGACAGCTCTTTGCAGCATATTTACCACAATTGTCTTCCTTTATGTATGTCCCAGGAAACACTAACCCTTTCTTCAGTCTCATGCCTAAATTTTTATCCGATTTTCTTCAGTCCTATTGTAATCGTTGAAATATATCTCTGATCGCTCTGTTTGGCCTTTCCCCCACCTGCATGACTTGGACTTCTAATGCTTTTTGGCTCATCATCTGGTCTTCTCGAGATGTGCCTCCCGCGAGTAATCTGTTCCAACAAATGTGATCAAGTTTTTAAGAACAAAACAGAACTGGAAAGTGGAAACATTCAAAATGCTAACAAAATTCACCCCGTAGTCGAACCAATTTGGTTTAGCAGCTAAGAGCATCTCAAAGTCGCATGACTGACATAGATGTCTCATGAGCTTTGTTGTGCTTTTCTTGTCAGGTTTTGCAATGAGTACTTTGCAACTTATATTTCTCAAAGTTAATATTTTTGGTCGGTCACAACAATACTACATTCAAATCACTTTTCATCTTAGATACAATCTTCTGTTGATCCAGTTATCTACCAATTGCTTTGGCATGTCCTCATCATTATCAAATAGTGGGTGATAACAAATTGCCAAAGTTGAAGTAGTAGTGGTGTTTAACAGCCGCTTTGGTTTTGACATATCAAGCTGAGCAGCTGCTCGGCTTGTGCGGTTTTTGGGCAAAGTGTGTTCTTATTACAGCTATGTCCATGAGAATTGGGAATGGTTGGTTCATCACCAGCTGTGTTATTAAACCTCGAACAAGAAAGTTTGCATGTACAAATTGCCAAAAACACAGCTGATTACTATGTCTATTGCCAAACACATTTGAATATTTCTGAACTTGCCGAAAATAATTATTTCAAAAATCTAATATTAAATCTTAAGTTTAAACCTGAAAACAGTTATTAAAAATCTGTGACCATGTTAATTGTCATTCAAAAAATATTTTAAAAATTGTAACATATACGAATGATTTCTTGTTATTAAACTTTAAGATATATAAAAAAACCCGTATTTATAATTATTTCCTGGATGGAACACATTCATATACAAAATATTCACAAAAATTGAGAATATGTAATTGAAAGTGGAAACAAAGAATTTTATGTAATAGTTTCTCACTACATTTGGCTTTTAAATTATAGAACAAGAAAACTGTTGTTTTAAGTTATTTTACGGGTGAAACATATTTCTAAAGAAAACAATCACAAATTTTAATATAAACTGATAAATCCAGAATTTCATATAATACTTCAAAATTACAGTTGGCTTTTTAACTAAAATTATGTTCACTAATATTATCGGAAAATTTGTGAATTTGACATTAATTGTTTAGCCTAATAAAATTAATTAAATTTTTGTTTACTATATTACACATTTCATCTACAGAAATCTCACTATATATAGATGGATGTGCGCGACGTGGTTGCGACACGAGCCTAATAAAATTAATTAAATTTTTGTTTACTATATTACACATTTCATCTACAAAAATCTCACTATATATAGATGGATGTGCACGACGTGATTGCGACACGTAGGATTTTTTTTAAGTCACAGGATCGCGACATGTGTTTTTTAATTTATGAAAAGTATTAAGATCGTCACATGTGTCATGGAATAATTAAACTAATATATATATATATATATATATATATAACATCAGCAAAAAAATAGAAAAAGAAGATACAAACAACTAAAAATAAAAAAGGTTACGTCATTTAAGAAAAGGAAAATAGTAAAAATATTCCCATTTCGAAAAGGAAAAAATATTGAAAATCAGAAAAACATGAAAAAATTAATTAAAAACAAAATTTGTAACATTCATTAATAAAAGGATAAAAAAAAATCATATTCTCATTACAAAAAGAAAAAAAAGAAAAAAAAATATAAAATAAGTTATAACATTCATGATTCAATTGTGTGCTTTTAATTTTTGTTTAAAATTTCTCTCGCATCAAGAAATAAAAAATTATGTCTATCAAGTCCAATATATCAGTGATAAATAATAAGTCTAGATCACTTGGATTGAAATAAAAATTATATATTGTCGCAACATGTGTCTAATATTTTATTAGGTGATGACGTGTTAACACAAGAAAATTGGAAACAATTAATTAAAAAAAAATAGAAAACTAACAAAATAATTGTAAAATCACTAAAAATATTAAAAGAAAATTCTATAATAGTCAGAGGCAAAAAAAAAAATTAACAAAATAAACAATACAAATAAAAACTAAAATAAACAATTATCAAGCAACTAACTAATACTATTAAAATAAAATTTTATAAATGACCGATATTCTAATTTTAAATAGTTTATTTCCAATTTACTTTTGGATAATGCAATATTAAAAAATATATTTCATCAAGATAAATCTCTTCAATGAAATAATCAAAGTTTCACAAATTAATTAGTCAATCACAAATTAATTCATTTTTCATATCATGAATTCCAAAAAGAAAATGTCAAGTATAATTAAAATGTAAAAATATTACTAATTTTATTTTATTTAGAGATTTTGTATCAGTAATTTTAAGAAATACACCTCTTGTAGTATTAATTTTTAAAACTATACATCTGGTTTTAATTTTCAAAATTACACTTTTTCTAAATTGAACATCTAAGTTTGAGTTTGCTAATCACTAACTAGGGTTTAAATTTAAGGGTTTATGGTTAGTTTTTGGGTTTTAGGATTTATATTTTAGATTTAGAGTTTTTTTATTTAATGAAAAAGTGTTCTTTTGAAAATAGACACCCTAAATGTGTGATTTTGAAAATGTACATCCAGAAAGCGTAGTTTTGAAATTTTCTCATTTTTATTGGTTTTTTAAGGTTATTCTACTTAATTTTAAAAGTGATCAGATTTTATAAATACTTTTTCGTGAATTATTTCAAAAATCTTAAAATAAAAACGGAAAAATATGTTACAGACATAAAACAATTTTCAATTCAACATATATATTTTCAAATACACGAAAAAAATTATTAAAATAATTAACTATTAACATAGAAGTATAGAACCAATGCATTAGCACAGGTATTATCCTAATATTTTTGATTATTTAAAAAAATATTATTCACATTTTTTTTATTTGTTGTTTTAAATATTATTCACAACGAAACATTTTTAATTATTATTCCCAGTTGCGAATCTTAAATATTATTTAAACATAAACCCTTGTATAAATGTGGACTAAACTGTTTGGGGACTAAAGTAGAAAACATAAAACTTTTTGGTATGAAGATTCGCAAGGTGCAGATCCACCTTGTATAAATTGTAAATATAAAATCCACTATTAATTTTCATTTGTTGCTCCCCTAACTTTTAATCTTTATATAACGTGCCCTGCTCATCCTTGTTAAATATTCCTCATTGGTTAATTGATTAGGGTTTCATCTAATTTTTTAAATCTTCCTAATATTATTTTTCTCCTCCGCTGTAAACCAATCGGTGAGAACAAGCTTGCTTACAACACAAGCCAGCCATGTCCCAAGGCAATAACCGATCTTCAAATTTGACGAAAAGAGAAAAAAAATCAGAACCAACCATCCCAACTGATCTCATCATCGAGATATTCTCGAGATTACCTGGGAAGTCAGTTGCTAGGTTTCGCTGCTTGTCGAAGCTATGGAGTTCCACGCTTCGCCGTCCATATTTCACCGAGTTGTTTCTGACTAGGTCATCGGCTCGTCCACGCCTCTTATTCGTCCTCAAAGAAGACCTCTATAACTGGACCGTCTTCTCGTCGCCTCAGCCTCATAAACCATATGGGAAGTCGTCTCTTATAGTAACCGCCGATTTCCATATGAAGATCCGTGGAAAAGTGGATGAAGACAATTGTAGCTATACCTCTGGTTTGATCTATTTTCCTGATATATGGATTAAAGGGATAGATGCATGGGATACACAGCCTGTGGTATGTAACCCTATCACGGGACGGTATGCGATCTTACCTGTACTGATTAAGGATCAGGACATACAATCGAATAGCGCCTTAGGGTTTGATCCGATCCACAAGCAATTCAAGGTAGTGGATTACCAAAAATTCTGACGTTAGGAAATGGAAAGCTTGGGTGGAGGAGTAGAATTGATTGTCCCTTATACGCTGAGTTATTGTGTCAAGGAATATGCATCAATGGGGTTTGTTATTTCTTAGTTGAACGTGGTAATGAAGAGTATAATATGATACTTTGCGTTGATGTTAGGTCTGAGGAACATAAGTTTATTAACGCGGAATGCTTTTGTGATATGTATAAAGTTAAATTGGTAAACTATAAGGGTAGATTAGGTGGGATTAGTTGGGGGTGTGATGATAGCTCTGAAGAAAACCTTGAGTTGCGTATCTGTGTTCTAGAGGATGTCGAGACTCAGAAATGGTCTGAAATTGTCTACAGTTTTGGAGAGAATGCACTGGTTGGTTCTTGGGATGATTACGTCGTTAGAGTGACTGCTGCTGGTGAAATTGTTTTGTCACCGAAGGATACAACTAAACAGTTTTATGTTTTCTTCTTTAGTCCCGAAAGGAACACTCTCCAAAAAGTTGAAATCCGAGGTTTAACGGATAATTGTAGTGTTCACGTTTTTGTAGACCATGTAGAGGATATTGATGTTGACGATGCAAACCAGCTCAAGTCAAGGCCAGTGAAGAAAGGCCTAGAGATCACCAGGAAGAGGCCAGAACCACCAAAATAACCAAAACTACAAAAACAGCATACATCACGTGACCTAGGAAAGTCTGATCCATATGTGAAGAACAAGCAGCGCTGAAGAACAAGTACGAATTATTAGCTAACATAGAGTGAGGATTGAGGAAATGTGTGGTTTTGTTGTTTGCTAATCTGATATTGGAAGCCAACACAAACTCATGTATAAGAGAAGGCACTCCTTAAGTTTCTCATATCCCTAGAGTTGCTTTATTGCATAGAGCTACTTGCACTTGCTTGATTCGTATCCCTAGAGTTGCTTTATTGCATAGATCTACTTGCGCAGTATTGTTGCAAAATGCTTTATGATATTTTTCAAGTTCGATAACACATAAAGGGGACTTGTGATTTCTAGTTTTGGCCAAATTATTCCGAGTTTGGTTTTGTTATAAACCATTCATGGTATCCTCAAACTCTGAAATGTGATTTAGAGTTTTGTGACTTGTGTTATGACGGGTTTTTTAATACAGGAATTAGCCTAACGAACAACAATTTCCATTGTTATTTAAGATACTATCTACGGCCTGAGGAAGGAAGAGCAAAGCAAAACCGTACAAGAAAGCACGCCGAAAGGTATCGTCTTCGAAAACGAAGTTGTAACATTAATGGACAAATGATGTGTGTATCTTTCTTGATCCTGGATCACCATCAACGTAAATGCATAATGTTAAGATTACTCCAGAATGTGGTTTTAGACAAGTTGACTCAGCTGTTCAAAAAAAAAAAAAAAAAAAAAAAAAAAAGACAAGTTGACTCATTACGTCTTTTATCTGTTCATGTTCTCTCAGATGAAACCAAGGAATATATATATGCAAAGGTGGTGCATGTGTGTCTCATCTATTTCTTGCTGATGATTGCCTCTTTCTTTGAAAAGCAAGCACACATCACAGTAGGTCATTACAATGAACTTCCAAGAATATGCGGCAATCTCAAGACAAGCAATCAATTAACTTCACAAAACAAAATATTAGAAATATCTTGGTGAGCAAGACGAATCAAGTATTGTAGGCCACTGAAGCCCGTTTATGAAGTGAAATCCGTGAAGCCCAAACGAAGAATATTACAGTAGAACCTCTATAAAACAATACTCGATAAAACAATAAACACTATAAGATAATATTTTCTCCGGTCCCAACTCGGGCCAGTGTAAAAAATAGCATAATGCGATAAGATGATAAGACAATAATATTTTTGAAACTCCTATGTAAAAATATAGTCCCAACAATAAGCTAAGATAATAATTATAAAACTAATGCATATATATCTAAGACAATTTAGTAAAATATGACTCCAATGTAGTTTGTCTTTTCTGAAAATTGGATTCCCGTCTCGAATTTTTCTTATTGCATCTACAATTTCTGGAGGTGTATTCTCAACATGCAGCCAAAAGTTGTGAAGAGTTCTCGAAGCCACAATTGCATCCTTACGTGTAACTACTTGCACATGTCCTTCCTCATCATCTTCAACTTCATCTTCACCATTAAGAACAGTAGACATAATTTCTTATAGACTTTGAACTTCTGAGCATGAAATATGTAAATAACAAAGTATAAGGAAAATTTGAAAAAAAATCTGAAAAAATATATTTCTATAAAGTTTCTTGTTTTTGATAGAATATTTCTATAAAATAATAATTATTGTTTTATCGATAAAATAATAACTCTATAAGATAATAAAATTTCAAAGTCCCAACATTATTGTTTTATAGAGGTTTTACTGTATACTAGGACTTTTACCCGCAAACGCGCGGGTCTGTATCTTAAATCAGTTTAAAATATATTTTTAAATTTTTCTTTTTTAAACTGCAAAAATCAACAACTAAAATTTAATAATATTTCAATATCAAAATTCTGTGTAAAACAAAATTTTTAAATATATAATATATCGTGTTGAGATCAAATCTTGACATACAAAAATATTGTTTTGATCAAATCTTGAAATATATTTTTAAATATGTATAGTGAAATTTTTAAAATTAGATGTCAATAGTATTTGTATGTAACACGATGTTTATTTGAAATAACTTCAATTCGTATGTTAGGACTTAAAATGCTATAAACAACATATAATTTATTTTTCAGTACATTTAACTTACACACCGTGTTATTAGTTTATAAACTTTGAGCATAATAGTATATATTTAGATTTTATATAATATAAATTATGTATATTCTTTTCTTATGGCTTAAAGAAAATCTTAAATTATTGTTTGTTCAATGTTGATTTTTTGTCACATTTTTTAGGCGTTATGGTATACATTTCTTTTTATAAGTAGTTTTATATTAATGTTTACTTGAATATTTCCGCCTTAAATCTGTTTATAATACATTTTTGTTCAAAAAATTTGTTAGTTACATATTTATTTAGAAATTCCAAAATTCACTTACTGTTTATTTAATTGCAAAAATGGTTATTAACTCACATATCATGTTTCTAATCAAATCGAGTAATCATATTTGGCAAATTTATACTACACCATAAATAAAATATTTTCTCTTGAATTTGATGGCAAAAGCTTTGTCTTCATCGATCAAACTCTGGCTGCTCATGAAATTGATACATCTCCTGCAATCATTGTGATCATCAAAGAAACAGTCTCCATATCTTATTCATATGTCTTTCTACAGTATGAGTCTTGGATCAAGCCATGCTTCTCAATAAACTTATGGCAAACTCACACATTTTTCATGAATTCTTTGAAAATGTAGAAAAACTGATTATTCTACCCCTAATAGGTTTATTGCCTATATTTCTTTATCCTTATATATTTTGCCATTTTTGGAAGGTTCGTGATTTTCTCTTATTTTGAAAATCGTTATTTACATGGAGATGAAATCTTCTTAAAGGATGTGAAGGATGCCACATCAACCTCTTCTTTTCCTCTCTGTTTGACCTCCATTTCCTCCCAAATATGAATTCTTATTTTGTTGATGTAGGGTGGAATGCTTTCTCGAAAATTTGTTGTATGGGTTGCACTATTAAATCTCCTTTGAACTCTTCTGCTCCATAGTAATCCAAACAAACTATTTACTTTTTCGACCATTTTTTTGAAGCTACGATGAACTAAATATTATATAGTATGCTATTGTTTTCTTGATTTTTTGTTTTAGCTCCTAAAGCTTGATCTCTCATCACCTAAAGAACTACAAATGAACTCATATGTCTTCTATACGACATTATGCATTTTTGTTTCTATCTCCATTTTTTTATTCATAGATTATGTAATGTTGATCGATTCTTTTGCAATGTTGGCTTTGTTTGTTTAGAACAATTCTTCAGTTATTGTGGTGTAACCTACTCTTTATTTGTAAAAACTTAAGTTTTGTCAAAGATAATTCACCGTAAGGTTTATTTAATTCTTTATAACTAATATTTTAGTTATACAAATGTTTTTTATATAATTTTAAATTTGTAGTAAATTATATTTTTTAACAATAATTTTTAAAAATCTTAATTTAATTACGTTGGACTTGTGGAGTTTCTAATTTAAACCGGTTTTATTAATTAATTTTCTTGAAACATAAAAGAAGTTAACTAATTTTAAAAATATAGCTAATTTTAGATGACGATATAGATTAATATTATTGGCTGTTTTAAAATTTGAAAAATGAGATGATGATATAGATTAATACTATTAGTTGTTTATGTGGACCAGTAAGATGCGATTTTATAATCCTATGTGTACACTCTTAAATGTATTTAGCCTCAAATTTTATATTAAAAACATATTTATTAAAAAGTATTAATTAATCACTTTAAACTTGGGAATTTCTAATTTAAACAGATTATACTAATTAATTTTCTTGAAACATAAGAAAGAAATTAACTAATTTAACAAATATAACTAATTTTGTATGATGATATAGATTAATACTATTGATTGTTTAAAATTTGGAAATTTTCTTAATTTTATATGATTATGTGGAATGATACTATTGGTTGTTAAAATTTGGAAAATTTCTTAATCTTAAAAGTGCCTATGTGGACCAATAAGATTATCTTAAAATCCTATGTGGACGCTCTTAGAGGCTTATAGCAACTTTTATATAGTATAGATTGAGATCTTATTGTAATATGGATTAGGAAGATTTACATTATTTGGTTTTATCAATAATGTTAATGTTAAATTATATATATATATATATATGTCTTATTCTCTTGTGTTAGGATATTCTTTTCTATTATATTTTGTCACAAAAACTTATTACTTTCCAAATAAAATCGAAACAGTCAAACTAATTTGTATTCCATCTTCAAGTACCAGTTGAGTCAGCCAGAATATAATTTTGTTTTTGGTTTTAACCACAATATAAATTTATTTGTTGCTCCCCTAACTTTTATGGGGTGTATTGGAAAAATGATTTTAAAGATTTTAGGTGATTTTGAATGATTCTGTAAAATCCACTGTTATTCAATTAGGGATTTCTAAATGTCATTTCAAATTCAGTGTTATTGAATATGGAGTTTTTCTAAAGTCATTCAAAATCACTTACATTGCTCTGTTATTCAATTAATCATTTGTAAATCTTAACTCAAATCCAGTGTTATTCAAAAATGAACAACTATTTCGAGAACAATTTGTCACAAGATTTTTAGGAGATTTAACACCCATTTTAGGTCAAAAATATGACTAACCAAAATAACACCTTTGAGGTGTAATTTGGAGAAGCCTTTTACAAGAAAGAAAATATCAAAAATCAAAGGAGAAAAAGATATCGGAGCACGGGATATTTGCCCCAGAATCCAGTGAATGTTCCTGTCACAGATCCTAAAGAAGCTCCGACGGTGAAACACGGAGGCCCTTCGCCGCATAAGTTTGATTTGTGGGATATCGATAAAGAATGCTGGAGGCTGCGACGGAGATGGAGATGGTGCTTGTGATAGTTACGGCATGTTATTTTTCTTGCCGTGTTTCCGGTGTAGCGGAAGCTGTAAAGTGGTGAAAGGATGGCGTAGGGCCGCCGTTGTTGTGAGATGTACCGAGTGTAACGAGAACGGTCTTGTTCCATGTCCAATTTGCAGCTAAAAGAGAGAGAGAGAAGGTTTAATGAGAACGATCTGTGATTTCCTCTCTTTTGTTTTCTGTCTCTGAAAATTATGAGTGAAAACAGAGCAAATCTTGTTGTCACAGAGAAAGTAGGTGTTACGTTATGTATAATTCAATACAAATCCTTTTATGTTGTACGATGTCTTCTTCTTCTTCTTACTTCTTGTTAAGTTACAGCCAATGAATGAAATAAGCTTTGAGGTAAAACAGAAACATCAATCTTGGTGAAATTATCAAGGTATTATGAATCTTCACCGGATTAGGAGCTTGTTAAGCACCTCAAGAGCATTATCAAGGTATCTTCGGTTCACTCATGTTGACCTCCATAATTGAAAAATTGAAACTTGTTATGATTCTAGACATATGCTTGATCAAGTGTATGAATTTGGTATGCATCATCACAGTTTTGGGATGGCCAAATCACAGTGGTGGAGTACATGGAGGAGGTCTTGACTAATCCCAGAGCAGGATACTACTGAATCGTGACGTCTTTGGAGCTCAAGGCGATTTCATTACTTCTCCTGAAGTGAGCCAGATGTTTAGCGAGGTAATTACTTTGCATTTCTTGTGTTGTCAATATCTTAAACACATAGGAAGTAATCTTATAATAAACTCATTGCATCGGAACCAAACATGATGCATAGGTAATCTATGTTCCTGATCTAGCTAAGTATATGCTTCTTTTACATTGTGAAATTGGTTTTGCTTTGAGTAGATACTTGGTATATGTTGGTAGTGCCTCAGTGTTCTTAAGTGAGTAGATGATATTTTCTGTTTGTAGTGTTCTCTACGAATATATTTTTGGTTCAACTTATGTCAAATTGTTTTACTTTTATTGTTTTGTTACCTTAAGAACCAAATAAAAAATTTTAGGGATGGCGGAAGAAATAATCAAGAAACCACACAAAATTTGTTATATTGATTTGTGTGAAAATTAATAATAAAAAATGGTTTAGAACCAAAAATATGGTTTTAGGGATGGAGATAGTCTTATAATGGTTTAAAGAGAGCCAAGAAGAAAAAAAAAAGTTCAATCAAATTGGAAACTGGATGTAAAAAGAAAAAGGGCAGCCACAATAGAAAATGTAAATCTAAACAATCCCCTAACTTTTAAATTTTTAATCTATCACGTGCCTTGCTCATCCTTCGTAAATCTTCCTCATTGGTTACTTGATTAGGGTTTCATCTCATTTGTTAAATCTTCCTCATTTAATTTTTTTCCGCTGTAAACCAATCGGTGAGAACAAGCTTGCTTACATCACAAGCCAGCCATGTCCCAAGGCAAAAACCGATCTTCAAATCCGACGAAAAGAGAAGACAAATCAGAACCAACAACCATCCCAACTAATCTCATGATCGAGATATTCTCGAGATTGCCAGGGTCAATTGCTAGGTTCCGCTGCTTGTCCAAGCTATGGAGTTCCACGCTTTGCCGTCCATATTTCACCGAGTTGTTTCTCACTAGGTCATCGGCTCGTCCACGTCTCTTATTCGTCTTCGAAGAGGCCCACGATGAGTGGACTGTCCTCTCGTCGCCTCAGCTTCATAATCCAATCGGGAAGTCGTCTCTTGTACTAACCGCCGATTTCCATATGAAGATCCGTGGAAATGTGCATCTAAACATTTGTAGCTACACCTCTGGTTTGATCTACTTCCCTAATATATGGTTTCATGGGATACATGGATCGTATACACAGCCTGTGATATGTAACCCTATCACAGGAGGGTATGCGATCTTTGTAGGATCGCGAAAATCCAGATTGAAAATGCGAATCAAAGAAGTAGAAGATATAAGATAGAAACGATTAAAACGTTTGAAAAAGATTTAAGAAAAGAGACGAATACGTAGAGGCGAGATTTGATCTCTTTCCTTAACTCAATAAATCTCCCGCAGTGTGGCGGTTTGATGAGATTTTTGAGTTAAGATTGTAGGACCGCGAAAATCCAGATTGAAAATGCGAATCAAAGAAGTATAAGATATAAGATAGAAACGATTAAAACGTTTGAAAAAGCTTTAAGAAAAGAGACGAATACGTAGAGGCGAGATTTGATCTCTTTCCTTAACTCAATAAATCTCCCGCTGTGTGGCGGTTTGATGAGATTTTTGAATCCCAGGATACAACTACGTTAGACTATAATCTCAGCACCCTATTATAGAATCTACGACCTTAGATAACTACGCTATACTCTTGAAACACAAGAAGAGAAGAAGAGAAAGATGTGAGAGAATGAAGGATTTTTCTTTAAGTGGAACAAGAGAACAAGTGTTTAAGAAGATGTGAAAATCTATGTCCAAATGAGAGAAGTGGGATCTCTATTTATAGAGAATCAAAGACTTAGTGAGTAAGCAATGAGATTTGTTCACAAAGCTATTCAAAAGCTTCCTCACCAAGCTAGGAAGACTTAGTCACTAAGCTTCCAAAAGCTTAGCCACTAAGCAAAACAAGAACTTGCTCACCAAGCTATTAAAAGCTTAGCCATTAAGTTGAGCAAGTTGCTTGTTCTCCAAGTTACGGGACTTGCTTGCCAAGTTATGGAACAATATGAATTCGACTCAATCTCAACTCGTTTAGATTTATCGGAACAATATGAATTCGACTCAATCTAAACTCATTTAGATTTATCAGATTTCATAATTGTCTCTTTCTCTCATTTTACTTTTTAATTCACACTTAATTCATGAGTCTAGATCTCATTTCTTTTCACACTTAATTCATTATTTACTCAGCCTAATAGGCTTATAAATTTTGGTTCCAACAATCCCCCACATGAAAAGAAAATGACTCTAAAAAATAAAATTACAGACTCTTCTACTTCTAAAACTAAAAAAAAAAATTTGAGAGTATAAACGAAAATTAACTGGATATGAGGTAGTGGCATTTTTCAGCTTTGAACTACTCATTGTCAATAACTATCGGGTTTACTTGGCCAGGAGGTGAACACGATGTCTTGAACCACCCGGATTTTTATGTAAACCAAGACAATAGCTATTACCCAGCTTCATTTTCTCGTAGAGCTAAGTTCTCTATTGGGTTCATTGTCGCCATGAACTTGCCTGGTTGGTCATGAGTGAACTTGGAGAACATAGCCTTAATCTTCATTCTCCTAGAAACGGTCCCATTTTACACTCACTAGGTGATTTCTACAAGCTCCTGTCATATAAAGAGTATCCTGTAAATACTCCGTACATATATGATAGCTACTTGTTATCATTAAAAGCAAAGCTTAACCTTAACTTACAGGAAGCACTGTTCATCGTTTTGGGAGATGGGTAGAGACTTGAAGTCTTCAGTGCTTTTATCAGATTATGTTTGATTTAGTTATCCCTTTGAACCAACCTCTTGGGATCACCAATTGCGAAGGTAGGGTTTCCATCAAACATCTTCTTAAGTCATAGGCAATAAACCCATTCCCTTTGATGATTTCAAAACTTGATCTCTTGACACACCGGGATCCTTAGGTTATCATTTAAATGAATATAATCTATTAAGATTACTCCATTTGAGATCAGTTGTTCAACATGTTTCGGAGGTGGTACTACGACTTTTGCAATGCACCCCTACACTTTGAGGTATTTGTACAAATGTACTTTTACCTTTGTAAAGTTCATATGACATTTTGTCAATGACTTTATCTGATAAGCAACGCTTACCCTCCACATTTGATGTTTGTTTCTTTTCTTGATTTGCATTTTGTAATAAGGTTTAAATTACTCAATCTTTTTTTTATAGATTTATAATTTCCATACCTTAACCTTGCAAACCAAATATTGAAAGACTCAATCAACTATGTAGTTGTTAACTTTGCTACAAAGGTACTATACCTTTCCAAAGTTCATATAGAGTTATACAAATCACCTTGTGTGATACTTTGTTAAGGATATGGGTTTGTGGTGAGAAGCGCTTCCCCCCACAGATTCTGCAGTAACCCATTCCTACAACATTGTTAAGTGCACCCTTGTGAGGGTTCACTTTTGCCTTTTTCGCTTATTGCGGTACTCAGCCACATTTGCATCATGAGTTTGAACTGTTTCAGCATTTTCACACTTTAGTGACTAATTTTGCAGTCTAGAAGTCAAATTAGCCAAAGTCAAAGGCTTTTGCTTGAATGCAAGATAATTCTTGAAGTCTGCCCAACCAGGGGGAAGCTTCTCAATGAAGCAATTCACTGTGAATGTCTCACAGATCTCCATTCCTTCATCTGATATCTCTTGCAATATCATTTGTAGCTCATGCACTTGATCCATGATGGGTTTTGAGTCCAACATGACAAAGTTAAGAAATTTCGCAACAGCGAATTTTCCTGAGCCTACATTGAATGTCTTGTACTTCTTTTCCAGGGCGTTCCATAGCTCCTTGGAAGTTTTGACCTCACTGTAAACATTATACAGTTGATCCACCAAGCGATTTTGAATATAGTCTTTGCACAAGAAATCTCCTTGAGTCCAGTTTTCCACGGTCAAGAGAACACGTGGATCTGTGTTATCCGATGGTAGCTCAGGTTTTGTCTCAACGAGATACCTTGCTAAGTTCAGCGTGGTCAGAAAGAAATGCATCTTTTGCTGCCATTGCTTGAAATTTGTACCATCAAATTTGTCAGGTGTAAGTCCTGCGCTTATATTGCTAGGCAAAGATGGAACAGAAAGTGACTGACCATTCCCACTAAGGGTTGTAGTCTGTGCACCACTGTTGTTGCCAATAGCCAAACCTCCATCGGTTTCTATAACACCACCAGACATTCTGGATGTTTAACAAAAAAAAAAAAAAATACCATCAAATTTGTCAGGTGTAAGTCCTGCGCTTATATTGCTAGGCAAAGATGGAACAGAAAGTGACTGACCATTCCCACTAAGGGTTGTAGTCTGTGCACCACTGTTGTTGCCAATAGCCAAACCTCCATCGGTTTCTATAACACCACCAGACATTCTGGATGTTTAACAACCGTGGAGTAAGCAATTAACAAAGTTATTTTGCTAATAACCGTTCACAGAAACACCAAAGGATGTTCTTAAACATTATTTGTAAATAAAATAAGATCGCACTAGAAAAAACGTTTCACGAACCTGCAATAAGCTGTCGTGTAAATCGCTTTTTTTTTAGATAAAGATATTCGTCTTTTGAGATCAAACGTTCTGTTGAATAGCTAGAAAGCGTTCACAGAGCCGTTTCAGATCTATACGAAAAAAATGTTTTATAAAATCGTTTTATAATATCTTATAAGAAAAGAATTGTTCGCGATTTTCAATCCGATTCAAGCATAAGGAGGGATCGGATTTATTGAGTTAAGATTGTAGGACCGCGAAATTCCTAGAGAGTTGATATACCCATATCTTTCATGTTTTTATCAAGGTTTTCACTATGTTTTTAATACAAATAATGTGGTTTTTATGCCCAAGAGGTAGTTTTCTTGTATATTCTGGTTTTGAGCATCATTCAGGTCAAAATAGCAAAGAAGAGTCCAAAATGGAGCAAAAAGAGTCAAATCACCAAGTTCCCAAGTCTAGAGCACCAAATCTACATTTCTCGCTAAAGACCAAACCGGAGCATCCGAAGTACGACCGCATATTCATGCCTTCCCGACGTCCAAAAGTCATGTTTCTTATATGGAAAGATAGATATTTGAGTCATGACCCGCGGCGAAGTGGAAAGAGGTCATTTGGATCACTCGTTGGACCGGAACTTATTTTCTACCAAGACATGTCCGACGAGCGCCTAAGTAGAGCCCATGGAGACTTTGATGGATCAAGAGGCCCGAGATACCGCGCCCAAGGCCTTGGCTCATCTTGACACTAGCATAACTCAATCCAGAAGCTTCCATTGGCCTGAACGCGGCCCATTCAAGAACTTGGAGAGCAAGCTCAAGCGGCTAAAGAGAAATGGAAACTTTCCTCTTCTGCGCGCGCTCAACTTTGCCGACCTAGACCCGCTCTCTACCTATATATACTTGCTTTTAGCCTCTTGTAATAAGAATCACCAGCCGCATAACAAGAAACACTTATTCAATAAAGTTCGGAGCCACTTAGGTGGTCTCCTTCTTCTTTCTTTTCTTCTTTTGCATTTGTATATAGCTTGCATGTTTCAATTTATATAGTCTAGAAGTAGAGATTTCTCCCTAAGGGTGAGGCGTGGTTTAGTCTATATTCCGCCGCCTCTCTCTCTAAGGATTCATGAGACTTCATCTACTATCTAAGACTCATTGTTGAATTATGGATCCTTCCAATGAGGACGTGATATAATGGCCATCGAAAATCGATTGTTAAAAGGGGAAACCCTATGGTTCTCCATCTTTATTTATGCTTAATGCTTGTTGCTAGAGTAGCTAACTAGTGACTTGATTTTAGGTTGATATACTCTCCAAAAGCTTGTTATATCTCCGGACACAATATTTGATGGGCAAATCGTTTTAGGCTACGAAAGTAGACCTAAAGAGTTTTGTGAACAATCATTACTTGGATGTAATGCATGTCTCACTCTACAATGACCAACGAAAGCTGAGCCCATTGGTTTAAGAGACATAGGGGATTGGAACCACGAAAGTGGAATAATCCTTCCTTAGTGTTTTGAGTTCAAAAGAATCGGATTTTAACAAACTTTTCAATCGACTTGGCTCATGTTTTCAAAAGAGTTTTCAATAGTTCAATAATGTTGCTTGTATAGAATTGCATTGTTATTTGCTTTTGCGTGTTCTAAACAAACACAAACCCTTGCATCTTTTGATTTAGCTTAGTCATTTAAACTCTATGATTATGTAATGTGTGAAATCCAATCCCTTGTGGTTCGACCCCTAAATACTACAATTATATGTTGTGCACTTGCAACACTAGTTGTCTTAGGGAATTATTACTTGTACTCATCCCATAGATGCAGCGATCAAAAATGCGAATCAAAGAAGTGGAAGATATAAGATAGAAACGATTAAAACGTTTGAAAAATCTTTAAGAAAAGAGACGAATACGTAGAGGCGAGATTTGATCTCTTTCCTTAACTCAATAAATCTCCCGCAGTGTGGCGGTTTGATGAGATTTTTGAATCCCAAGTTACAACTACGTTAGTCTATAATCTCAACACCCGATTATAGAATCTGCGACCTTAGATAACTACGCTATACTCTCGAAACACAAAAAGAGAAGAAGAGAAAGATGTGAGAGAATGAAGGATTTTTATTTAAGTGGAACAAGAGAACAAGTGTTTAAGAAGATGTGAAAATCTATGTCCAAATGAGAGAAGTGGGATCTCTATTTATAGAGAATCAAAGACTTAGTGAGTAAGCAATGAGACTTGGTCACAAAGCTATTCAAAAGCTTCCTCACCAAGCTAGCAAGACTTAGTCACTAAGCTTCCAAAAGCTTAGCCACTAAGCAAAACAAGAACTTGCTCACAAAGCTATTAAAAGCTTAGCCATTAAGTTGAGCAAGTTTCTTGTTCTCCAAGCTACGGGACTTGCTTGCCAAGTTACGGAACAATATGAATTCGACTCAATCTCAACTCGTTTAGATTTATCGGAACAATATGAATTCGACTCAATCTAAACTCATTTAGATTTATCAGATTTCATAATTGTCTCTTTCTCTCATTTTACTTTTAATCACACTTAATTCATTAGTCTAGATCTCATTTCTTTTCACACTTAATTCATTATTTACTCAGCCTAATAGGCTTATAAATTTTGGTTCCAACAATCCCCCACATGAAAAGAAAATGACTCTAAAAAATAAAATTACAGACTCTTCTACTTCTAAAACTAAAAAAAAAATTTCGAGAGTATAAACGAAAATTAACTGGATATGAGGTAGTGGCATTTTTCAGCTTTGAACTACTCATTGTCAATAACTATCGGGTTTACTTGGCCAGGAGGTGAACACGATGTCTTGAGCTCCTGTCATATAAAGAGTATCCTGTAAATACTCCGTACATATATGATAGCTACTTGTTATCATTAAAAGCAAAGCTTAACCTTAACTTACAGGAAGCACTGTTCATCGTTTTGGGAGATGGGTAGAGACTTGAAGTCTTCAGTGCTTTTATCAGATTATGTTTGATTTAGTTATCCCTTTGAACCAACCTCTTGGGATCACCAATTGCGAAGGTAGGGTTTCCATCAAACATCTTCTTCTTAAGTCATAGGCAATAAACCCATTCCCTTTGATGATTTCAAAACTTGATCTCTTGACACACCTGGATCCTAGGTTATCATTTAAGGTAATATAATCTATTAAGATTACTCCATTTGAGATCAGTTGTTCAAAGTGTTTAGGAGGTGGTATTACAACTTTTGCAATGCACCCCCACACTTTTAGGTATTTGTACAAATGTACTTTTACCTTTATAAAGTTCATATGACATTTTTCAATGACTTTATCTGGTAAGCAATGCTTACCCCCTACATTTCATGTTTGTCTTTTCTTGATTTGCATTTTGTAATAAGGTTTAAATTACTCAACCTTTTTTTATAGATTTATAATTTCCATACCTTAACTTGCAAACCAAATATTGAAAGACTCAATCAACTCTGTAGTTGTTCAACTTTGCTACAAAGGTACTATACCTTTTCAAAGTTCATATAGAGTTACACCAATCACCTTGTGTGATATTTTGTTGGATATGGTTTGTGGTGAGAAGCGCTTCCCCCCACAGATTCTGCAGTAATCCATTCCTACAACATTGTTAAGTGCACCCTTGTGAGGGTTCACTTTTGCCTTTTTCGCTTATTGCGGTACTCAGCCACATTTGCATCATGAGTTTGAACTGTTTCAGCATTTTCACCCTTTAGTGACTAATTTTGCAGTCTAGAAGTCAAATTAGCCAAAGTCAAAGGCTTTTGCTTGAATGCAAGATAATTCTTGAAGTCTGCCCAACCAGGGGGAAGCTTCTCAATGAAGCAATTCACTGTGAATGTCTCACAGATCTCCATTCCTTCATCTGATATCTCTTGCAATATCATTTGTAGCTCATGCACTTGATCCATGATGGGTTTTGAGTCCAACATGACAAAGTTAAGAAATTTCGCAACAGCGAATTTTCCTGAGCCTACATTGAATGTCTTGTACTTCTTTTCCAGGGCGTTCCATAGCTCCTTGGAAGTTTTGACCTCACTGTAAACATTATACAGTTGATCCACCAAGCGATTTTGAATATAGTCTTTGCACAAGAAATCTCCTTGAGTCCAGTTTTCCACGGTCAAGAGAACACGTGGATCTGTGTTATCCGATGGTAGCTCAGGTTTTGTCTCAACGAGATACCTTGCTAAGTTCAGCGTGGTCAGAAAGAAATGCATCTTTTGCTGCCATTGCTTGAAATTTGTACCATCAAATTTGTCAGGTGTAAGTCCTGCGCTTATATTGCTAGGCAAAGATGGAACAGAAAGTGACTGACCATTCCCACTAAGGGTTGTAGTCTGTGCACCACTGTTGTTGCCAATAGCCAAACCTCCATCGGTTTCTATAACACCACCAGACATTCTGGATGTTTAACAACCGTGGAGTAAGCAATTAACAAAGTTATTTTGCTAATAACCGTTCACAGAAACACCAAAGGATGTTCTTAAACATTATTTGTAAATAAAATAAGATCGCACTAGAAAAAACGTTTCACGAACCTGCAATAAGCTGTCGTGTAAATCGCTTTTTTTTTAGATAAAGATATTCGTCTTTTGAGATCAAACGTTCTGTTGAATAGCTAGAAAGCGTTCACAGAGCCGTTTCAGATCTATACGAAAAAAATGTTTTATAAAATCGTTTTATAATATCTTATAAGAAAAGAATTGTTCGCGATTTTCAATCCGATTCAAGCATAAGGAGGGATCGGATTTATTGAGTTAAGATTGTAGGACCGCGAAAATCCAGATTGAAAATTGATATACCCATATCTTTCATGTTTTTATCAAGGTTTTCACTATGTTTTTAATACAAATAATGTGGTTTTTATGCCCAAGAGGTAGTTTTCTTGTATATTCTGGTTTTGAGCATCATTCAGGTCAAAATAGCAAAGAAGAGTCAAAATGGAGCAAAAAGAGTCAAATCACCAAGTTCCCAAGTCTAGAGCACCAAATCTACATTTCTCGCTAAAGACCAAACCGGAGCATCCGAAGTACGACCGCATATTCATGCCTTCCCGACGTCCAAAAGTCATGTTTCTTATATGGAAAGATAGATATTTGAGTCATGACCCGCGGCGAAGTGGAAAGAGGTCATTTGGATCACTCGTTGGACCGGAACTTATTTTCTACCAAGACATGTCCGACGAGCGCCTAAGTAGAGCCCATGGAGACTTTGATGGATCAAGAGGCCCGAGATACCGCGCCCAAGGCCTTGGCTCATCTTGACACTAGCATAACTCAATCCAGAAGCTTCCATTGGCCTGAACGCGGCCCATTCAAGAACTTGGAGAGCAAGCTCAAGCGGCTAAAGAGAAATGGAAACTTTCCTCTTCTGCGCGCGCTCAACTTTGCCGACCTAGACCCGCTCTCTACCTATATATACTTGCTTTTAGCCTCTTGTAATAAGAATCACCAGCCGCATAACAAGAAACACTTATTCAATAAAGTTCGGAGCCACTTAGGTGGTCTCCTTCTTCTTTCTTTTCTTCTTTTGCATTTGTATATAGCTTGCATGTTTCAATTTATATAGTCTAGAAGTAGAGATTTCTCCCTAAGGGTGAGGCGTGGTTTAGTCCATATTCCGCCGCCTCTCTCTCTAAGGATTCATGAGACTTCATCTACTATCTAAGACTCATTGTTGAATTATGGATCCTTCCAATGAGGACGTGATATAATGGCCATCGAAAATCGATTGTTAAAAGGGGAAACCCTATGGTTCTCCATCTTTATTTATGCTTAATGCTTGTTGCTAGAGTAGCTAACTAGTGACTTGATTTTAGGTTGATATACTCTCCAAAAGCTTGTTATATCTCCGGACACAATATTTGATGGGCAAATCGTTTTAGGCTACGAAAGTAGACCTAAGGAGTTTTGTGAACAATCATTACTTGGATGTAATGCATGTCTCACTCTACAATGACCAACGAAAGCTGAGCCCATTGGTTTAAGAGACATAGGGGATTGGAACCACGAAAGTGGAATAATCCTTCCTTAGTGTTTTGAGTTCAAAAGAATCGGATTTTAACAAACTTTTCAATCGACTTGGCTCATGTTTTCAAAAGAGTTTTCAATAGTTCAATAATGTTGCTTGTATAGAATTGCATTGTTATTTCTTTTGCGTGTTCTCAACAAACACAACCCCTTGCATATTTTGATTTAGCTTAGTCATTAAACTCTATGATTATGTAATGTGTGAAATCCAATCCCTTGTGGTTCGACCCCTAAATACTACAATTATATGTTGTGCACTTGCAACACTAGTTGTCTTAGGGAATTATTACTTGTACTCATCCCTTAGATGCAGCGATCAAAAATGCGAATCAAAGAAGTGGAAGATATAAGATAGAAACGATTAAAACGTTTGAAAAATCTTTAAGAAAAGAGACGAATACGTAGAGGCGAGATTTGATCTCTTTCCTTAACTCAATAAATCTCCCGCAGTGTGGCGGTTTGATGAGATTTTTGAATCCCAAGTTACAACTACGTTAGACTATAATCTCAACACCCGATTATAGAATCTGCGACCTTAGATAACTACGCTATACTCTCGAAACACAAAAAGAGAAGAAGAGAAAGATGTGAGAGAATGAAGGATTTTTATTTAAGTGGAACAAGAGAACAAGTGTTTAAGAAGATGTGAAAATCTATGTCCAAATGAGAGAAGTGGGATCTCTATTTATAGAGAATCAAAGACTTAGTGAGTAAGCAATGAGACTTGTTCACAAAGCTATTCAAAAGCTTCCTCACCAAGCTAGCAATACTTAGTCACTAAGCTTCCAAAAGCTTAGCCACTAAGCAAAACAAGAACTTGCTCACAAAGCTATTAAAAGCTTAGCCATTAAGTTGAGCAAGTTTCTTGTTCTCCAAGCTACGGGACTTGCTTGCCAAGTTACGGAACAATATGAATTCGACTCAATCTCAACTCGTTTAGATTTATCGGAACAATATGAATTCGACTCAATCTAAACTCATTTAGATTTATCAGATTTCATAATTGTCTCTTTCTCTCATTTTACTTTTTAATTCACACTTAATTCATGAGTCTAGATCTCATTTCTTTTCACACTTAATTCATTATTTACTCAGCCTAATAGGCTTATAAATTTTGGTTCCAACAATCCCCCACATGAAAAGAAAATGACTCTAAAAAATAAAATTACAGACTCTTCTACTTCTAAAACTAAAAAAAAAATTTCGAGAGTATAAACGAAAATTAACTGGATATGAGGTAGTGGCATTTTTCAGCTTTGAACTACTCATTGTCAATAACTATCGGGTTTACTTGGCCAGGAGGTGAACACGATGTCTTGAACCACCCGGATTTTTATGTAAACCAAGACAATAGCTATTACCCAGCTTCATTTTCTCGTAGAGCTAAGTTCTCTATTGGGTTCATTGTCGCCATGAACTTGCCTGGTTGGTCATGAGTGAACTTGGAGAACATAGCCTTAATCTTCATTCTCCTAGAAACGGTCCCATTTTACACTCACTAGGTGATTTCTACAAGCTCCTGTCATATAAAGAGTATCCTGTAAATACTCCGTACATATATGATAGCTACTTGTTATCATTAAAAGCAAAGCTTAACCTTAACTTACAGGAAGCACTGTTCATCGTTTTGGGAGATGGGTAGAGACTTGAAGTCTTCAGTGCTTTTATCAGATTATGTTTGATTTAGTTATCCCTTTGAACCAACCTCTTGGGATCACCAATTGCGAAGGTAGGGTTTCCATCAAACATCTTCTTAAGTCATAGGCAATAAACCCATTCCCTTTGATGATTTCAAAACTTGATCTCTTGACACACCGGGATCCTTAGGTTATCATTTAAATGAATATAATCTATTAAGATTACTCCATTTGAGATCAGTTGTTCAACATGTTTCGGAGGTGGTACTACGACTTTTGCAATGCACCCCTACACTTTGAGGTATTTGTACAAATGTACTTTTACCTTTGTAAAGTTCATATGACATTTTGTCAATGACTTTATCTGATAAGCAACGCTTACCCTCCACATTTGATGTTTGTTTCTTTTCTTGATTTGCATTTTGTAATAAGGTTTAAATTACTCAATCTTTTTTTTATAGATTTATAATTTCCATACCTTAACCTTGCAAACCAAATATTGAAAGACTCAATCAACTATGTAGTTGTTAACTTTGCTACAAAGGTACTATACCTTTCCAAAGTTCATATAGAGTTATACAAATCACCTTGTGTGATACTTTGTTAAGGATATGGGTTTGTGGTGAGAAGCGCTTCCCCCCACAGATTCTGCAGTAACCCATTCCTACAACATTGTTAAGTGCACCCTTGTGAGGGTTCACTTTTGCCTTTTTCGCTTATTGCGGTACTCAGCCACATTTGCATCATGAGTTTGAACTGTTTCAGCATTTTCACCCTTTAGTGACTAATTTTGCAGTCTAGAAGTCAAATTAGCCAAAGTCAAAGGCTTTTGCTTGAATGCAAGATAATTCTTGAAGTCTGCCCAACCAGGGGGAAGCTTCTCAATGAAGCAATTCACTGTGAATGTCTCACAGATCTCCATTCCTTCATCTGATATCTCTTGCAATATCATTTGTAGCTCATGCACTTGATCCATGATGGGTTTTGAGTCCAACATGACAAAGTTAAGAAATTTCGCAACAGCGAATTTTCCTGAGCCTACATTGAATGTCTTGTACTTCTTTTCCAGGGCGTTCCATAGCTCCTTGGAAGTTTTGACCTCACTGTAAACATTATACAGTTGATCCACCAGGCGATTTTGAATATAGTCTTTGCACAAGTGACTGACCATTCCCACTAAGGGTTGTAGTCTGTGCACCACTGTTGTTGCCAATAGCCAAACCTCCATCGGTTTCTATAACACCACCAGACATTCTGGATGTTTAACAACCGTGGAGTAAGCAATTAACAAAGTTATTTTGCTAATAACCGTTCACAGAAACACCAAAGGATGTTCTTAAACGTTATTTGTAAATAAAATAAGATCGCACTAGAAAAAACGTTTCATGAACCTGCTATAAGCTGTCGTGTAAATCGCTTTTTTTTTAGATAAAGATATTCGTCTTTTGAGATCAAACGTTCTGTTGAATAGCTAGAAAGCGTTCACAGAGCCGTTTCAGATCTATACGAAAAAATGTTTTATAAAATCGTTTTATAATATCTTATAAGAAAAGAATTGTTCGCGATTTTCAATCCGATTCAAGCATAAGGAGGGATCGGATTTATTGAGTTAAGATTGTAGGACCGCAAAAAGCGAGATTGAAAATGCGAATCAAAGAAGTGGAAGATATAAGATAGAAACGATTAAAACGTTTGAAAAATCTTTAAGAAAAGAGACGAATACGTAGAGGTGAGATTTGATCTCTTTCCTTAACTCAATAAATCTCCAGCAGTGTGGCGGTTTGATGAGATTTTTGAATCCCAGGATACAACTACGTTAGACTATAATCTCAGCACCCGATTATAGAATCTGCGACCTTAGATAACTACGCTATACGCTCGAAACACAAAAAGAGAAGAAGAGAAAGATGTGAGAGAATGAAGGATTTTTCTTTAAGTGGAACAAGAGAACAAGTGTTTAAGAAGATGTGAAAATCTATGTCCAAATGAGAGAAGTGGGATCTCTATTTATAGAGAATCAAAGACTTAGTGAGTAAGCAATGAGACTTGGTCACAAAGCTATTCAAAAGCTTCCTCACCAAGCTAGCAAGACTTAGTCACTAAGCTTCCAAAAGCTTAGCCACTAAGCAAAACAAAAACTTGCTCACCAAGCTATTAAAAGCTTAGCCATTAAGTTGAGCAAGTTGTTTGTTCTCCAAGCTACGGGACTTGCTTGCCAAGTTACGGAACAATATGAATTCGATTCAATCTCAAGTCGTTTAGATTTATCGGAACAATATGAATTCGACTCAATCTAAACTCATTTAGATTTATCAGATTTCATAATTGTCTCTTTCTCTCATTTTACTTTTAATCACACTTAATTCATTAGTCTAGATCTCATTTCTTTTCACACTTAATTCATTATTTACTCAGCCTAATAGGCTTATAAATTTTGGTTCCAACAATCTTACCTGTAATGACGAGGAACAAAGAATCGAATAGCGCGTTAGGGTTTGATCCGATCCACAAGCAATTCAAGCCAGTGGTCACCATAAAATTCTGACGTTAGGTCAAGGAAAAATTCATTGGAGGAGTAAGACTCTTTGTCCCATAGACGTTAAGTCAAAGAATATGTATCAATGGGTTTTGTTATTACTTAGTTGAACGTGGTGATGATACTATGATACTTTGCGTTGATGTTACGGCTGAGGAGTTCAAGTTAATTGACGCCGAATGCTTATGTGATATGTATAGAGTTAAATTGGTAAACTATACGGGTAGATTATGTGGGATTAGTTGGGGGTATGATGATTGGTTTGGAAAGACCCTTGAGTTGTGTATGTGTGTTCTAGAGGATGTTGAGACTCAGGAATGGTCTAAAAGTGTCTACAGTTTGGGAGAGAAGGCACCGGTTTGTCCTTGGAACGATTATGTCGTGGGAGTGACTGCTGCTGGTGAAATTGTTTTCTCATAGAAGAAGATAACTAAACAGTTTTATGTTTTCTACTTTAGTCCCGAAAGGAACACTTTCGAAAAAGTTGAAATCCGAGGTTTAAAGGAGTATTGTAGATTTCACATTTTTGTAGACCATGTAGAGGATATTGATGCTAACGATGCAAACCAGCAGCTCTCAAGGCCAGTGAAGGAAGGCCTAGAAATCATCAGGGAAAGGCCAGAACCACCAAAACAACAACAAAAACCACAAATACAGCATACATCAAGTGACCTCGGAAAGTCTGATCTATATGTGAAGAACAAGCAGCCGACAATCCTCCTGCAGAACAAGTACGAATTATTAGCTCACGACATAGAGTGAGGAGTGAGTAAATTAGAAGCCAACACAAACTCATGTATAAGAGTGTTGCTTCTCATCTACATGTTATGTGTAAGCGCTTTATTACTCTGTTGGCTTAGTATTTTTTGTGTTCTTTCTTGTTATCATGTTTATGTCCTAATTATGTTACATCTTGAAAGCTCGCAACCAGTTTACCCAAAGCAATTATGGTAGAAGAAGCAATCTCAACTGTTGACACCACCAAAGCCTTTCAATGAGACAAGTCCCAACCATCACTTAGCTTCATGTGTTGTCTGCTTCGTAGATGCAGCTTGGAAGATAGCTAAACCGTATGTCATAATATGTTAATAACTATAACAGAGGCTACAAACACGACCAAACAAAAAGAAAGACCAATTTCAATATCAACCAATTTTTACATAACAAATCAAAGCTTACACTCAAGAAAATCACTCATTGTTCTCTATTTACTTCTGTCTTACATTTTTAAAAAGATTTACGGAAAAAAAAGGATGGATATGCATTTAAATGAAATAGGGGTTAAGTCATAAATTCAAAATATTAAAATAGCAGATATAATCATGATCAGATAAAAGAAAAAGTAATTTTAAAAAAATCAAGAAAAATACAAAAAGACAGCTGGGCCAAGCTAACCGAGCATGTATGTCTCCTCGCCATCATGACCTGTCTCTAGTGGTGGTGGCGGCGGCGCCGAGCTGGAGGCGGAGCCAACGGCGGATATAGTTGCATTTAAAGCACGAATTTGCATCTCCATCGCAAATGGATAGAGAAGAAAACAAATATAAATACAAATTGTAGGAAAAAGAACAAAACGGATAAACCAATAACGATAAAAAAAATTGGATCATCAATGGATTTTAGTATGTTCTTTTACAAATAATAAATTTATAACAATCAGTACAATTTTAATCATTATTCTAAGAGGGTAAGCATCATAATAGCTTTGAGAAAACACAAAAATATATAAATTTGATTAAAGTAGTATATTAATTAAAAGATTTGGTTTGGTATGAATATTTAGGTTATTTTTAGCACATTTTGATAATTTTTTTATTTTGCTATTGTTTTTGATAAACCACCTTGTACAGATTGTAAATATAAAATCCACTATTAATTTTCATTTGTTGCTCCCCTAACTTTTAATCTTTATATAACGTGCCCTGCTCATCCTTGTTAAATATTCCTCATTTGTTACTTGATTAGGGTTTCATCTAATTTTTTAAATCTTCCTAATATTATTTTTCTCCTCCGCTGTAAACCAATCGGTGAGAACAAGCTTGCTTACAACACAAGCCAGCCATGTCCCAAGGCAATAACCGATCTTCAAATTTGACGAAAAGAGAAAAAAAATCAGAACCAACCATCCCAACTGATCTCATCATCGAGATATTCTCGAGATTACCTGGGAAGTCAGTTGCTAGGTTTCGCTGCTTGTCGAAGCTATGGAGTTCCACGCTTCGCCGTCCATATTTCACCGAGTTGTTTCTGACTAAGTCATCGGCTCGTCCACGTCTCTTATTCGTCCTCAGAAAAGACTTATATGAGTGGACCGTCTCTCGTCGCCTCAGCCTCATAAACCATATGGGAAGTCGTCTCTTATAGTAACAGCCGATTTCCATATGAAGATCCGTGGAAAAGTGGATGAAGACAATTGTAGCTATACCTCTGGTTTGATTTATTTCCCTGATGTATGAATTAAAGGGATAGATGAATGGGATACCCAGCCTGTGATATGTAACCCTATCACGGGACGGTACGCGATCTTACCTGTACTGGTTGAAGATCAGGACATACAATCGAATAGCGCCTTAGGGTTTGATCCGATCCACAAGCAATTCAAGGTAGTGGATTACCAAAAATTCTGACGTTAGGAAATGGAAAGCTTGGGTGGAGGAGTAGAATTGATTGTCCCTTATACGCTGAGTTATTGTGTCAAGGAATATGCATCAATGGGGTTTGTTATTTCTTAGTTGAACGTGGTAATGAAGAGTATAATATGATACTTTGGCGTTGATGTTAGGTCTGAGGAGTATAAGTTTATTAACGCGGAAGGCTTTTGTGATATGTACAAAGTTAAATTGGTAAACAATAAGGGTAGATTAGGTGGGATTAGTTGGGGGTGTGATGATAGTCCTGGAGAGACCCTTGAGTTGCGTATATGTGTTCTAGAGGATGTCGAGACTCAGAAATGGTCTGAAAGTGTCTACAGTTTGGGAGAGAATGCACCGGTTTGTCCTTGGGATGATTACAACGTTGGAGTGACTGCTTTTGGTGAAATTGTTTTGTCACCGAAGGATACAACTAAACAGTTTTATGTTTTCTTCTTTAGTCCCGAAAGGAACACTCTCCAAAAAGTTGAAATCCGAGGTTTAACGGATAATTGTAGTGTTCACGTTTTTGTAGACCATGTAGAGGATATTGATGTTGACGATGCAAACCAGCTCAAGTCAAGGTCAGTGAAGAAAGGCCTAGAGATCATCAGGAAGAGGCCAGAACCACCAAAATAACCAAACCCACAAAAACAGCATACATCACGTGACCTAGGAAAGTCTGATCCATATGTGAAGAACAAGCAGCGCTGAAGAACAAGTACGAATTATTAGCTAACATAGAGTGAGGATTGAGGAAATGTGTGGTTTTGTTGTTTGCTAATCTGATAGTGGAAGCCAACACAAACTCATGTATAAGAGAAGGCACTCCTTAAGTTTCTCATATCCCTAGAGTTGCTTTATTGCATAGAGCTACTTGCACTTGCTTGATTCGTATCCCTAGAGTTGCTTTATTGCATAAGTCTACTTGCACAGTATTGTTGCAAAATGCTTTATGATATTTTTTAAGTTCGATAACACATAAAGGGGACTTGTGATTTCTAGTTTTGGCCAAATTATTCCGAGTTTGGTTTTCTTATAAACCATTCATGGTATCCTCAAACTCTTATTCTCTTGTATTAAGAACACAACTCAATAATATATTTCTTTCTATTATATTTTGTCACAAAAACTTTTTACTTTCCAAATAAAATCGAAACAGTCAAACTAATTTGTATTCCATCTTCAAGTACTACTTGAGCCAGCCACAAATATAGATTTTTTTTTTTTTAACCACAATATAAATTTCTTTGTTGCTCCCCTAACTTTTAATCAATCACGTGCCTATCTTCCTCATTTGTTACTTGATTAGGGTTTCATCTCATTTGTTAAATCTTCCTCATTTTATTTTTCTCCTCCGCTGTAAACCAATCGGTGAGAACAAGCTTTCTTACATCACAAGCTTAGCCAGCCATGTCCCAAGGCAAAAACCGATCTTCAAATCCGACGAAAAGAGAAGACAAATCAGAACCAACAACCATCCCAACTGATCTGATCATCGAGATATTCTCGAGATTGCCAGGGAAGTCAATTGCTAGGTTTCGGTGCTTGTCCAAGCTATGGAGTTCCACGCTTCGCCGTCCATTTTTCACCGAGTTGTTTCTCACTAGGTCATCGGGTCGTCCACGTCTCTTATTCGTCCTCAAAGAAGCCCCCAATGAGTAGACCGTCTTCTCGTCGCCTCAGACTCATAATCCGTACGGGCAGCCATCTCTTGTACTAACCGCCGATTTCCATATGAAGATCTGTGGAGACGTGCTTCGAGAAAGATGTAGCTATACCTCTGGTTTGATCTATTTTCCTGATATATGGATTAAAGGGATAGAAATGTGGGATACACAGCCTGTGGTATGTAACCCTATCACGGGACGGTATGGGATCTTACCTGTACTGATGAGGTACAGAAAGTCGAAAAGCGTTTTAGGGTTTAATCCGATGGGCAAGCAATTCAAGGTAGTGGCTGAGTCTTTTCCGTTTTGTAGTGAAAGGGATCACCATAAAATTCTGACGTTAGGAAACGGAAAACTTGGGTGGAGGAGTAAGAATTCTCATTGTCCCTCATACCGTGAGTCTTTGGGTCAAGGAATATGCATCAATGGGTTTTGTTATTTCTTAGTTGATCATTATAAGGAACCGTATAGTGTGATACTTTGCGTTCATGTCAGGTCTGAGAAATTCAAGCTTATTGACGCGGGTTGCTTTTGTTATCTGAATAAAGTCAAATTGGTAAACTATAAAGGTAGATTAGGTGGGATTAGTTTCACGTATGCTATCTATGATGGTATGCTTACAAATACCCTTGAGTTGTGTATGTGTGTTCTAGAGGATGTGGAGACTCAGGAATGGTCTAAAAGTGTCTACAGTTTGGGAGCGAAGGCACCGCTTGATCCATTGAATCATTACGTCGTTGGAGTGACTTCTGCTGGTGAAATTGTTTTGTCATCTAAGGATACAACTAAACAGTTTTATGTTTTCTACTTTAGTCCCGAAAGGAACACTCTCCAAAAAGTTGAAATCCAAGGTTTAAAGGATAAATGTAGTGTTCACGTTTTTGTAGACCATGTAGAGGATATTGACGTTAACGATGCAAACCAGCTCTCAAGGCCAGTGAAGGAAGGCCTAGAGATCACCAGGAAAAGGCCAGTACCACCAAAACAACCAAAACCACAAAAGCAGCATACATCACGTGGCCTCGGAAAGTCTCATCCATCTGTGAAGAACAAGCAGCCGGCAATCCTCCTCGGTAACAAGTACGAATTATTAACTGACGACATAGAGTGAGGAGTGAGGAAAGGTGTGGTTTTGTTGTTGGCTAATCTGATATTGGAAGCCAACACAAACTTATGTAAGAGAAGGCACTCCTTCAGTTTCTCAAAACCCTCTCTCTTTCAAAGTTATTTTTGGATGAAATTTCAATTATGTTAGACAACTCAGAACCGTGAATTTACATAGATGAAGATAGTGCATGGAACAAACCACAGCCAAAAAAAATAAAGAATAAAGAATGATTTGTAACATAAGACTAAGAGTGTTACTTCTCATGTACATGTTTCTTGTGAGCGTTTTATTACTCTGTTGGCTTAGCAAATTTTTGTTGTCTTTCTGGTTATCATGTTCATGTCCTAATTCTGTTACCTCTTGAAAGCTAGCAACCAGTTTATTTCTACAGATCGTGTTTTTTTGCTAAAATGAGAATAACATAAGACTAAGAGTGTTACTTCTCATGTACATGTTTCTTGTGAGCGTTTTATTACTCTGTTGGCTTAGCAAATTTTTGTTGTCTTTCTGGTTATCATGTTCATGTCCTAATTCTGTTACCTCTTGAAAGCTAGCAACCAGTTTATTTCTACAGATCGTGTTTTTTTGCTAAAATGAGACTTTAACCAAAGCAATTATGGCAGAAGAAGCAATCTCAACTGTTGACACCACCAAAGCCTTTCAAGGTGACCCAAGATGTGTCGTTTGCTTCGCAGATCGGTAGATGCAGCTTGGAAGATAGCTAAACCGATGTCATAATATGTTTATAACTATAACACAAGGTACAAACACGACTAAACAAAGAAAAAGACCAATTTCAATATCAACCAAATTTTACATAACAAATCAAAGCTTACACTCAAGAAAATCACTCCATTGTTCTCTTTTTACTTCTCTTTCTTACATTTTTCAAAAGATTTACGGAAAAAGGATGGATATACAATTAAATGAAGAAGGTCAAAATATTAAAGTAGCAGAAATAAATCATGTTCAGATAAAAGAAAAAGTATTTTTTTTAAATCAAGAAAAATACAAAAAGACAGCTGGGCCAAGCTAACCGAGCATGTGTGTCTCTTCGCCATCATGACCTGTCTCTAGCATTAGTGGCGGCGCCGAGCTGGAGGCGGAGCCAACGGCGGAGATAATGGCATTCAAAGCACGAATCTGCATCTCCATGGCAACAATATAATCGGTGGTTTCTTCTAGCACCACAGGCAACGGCTGTTTCCGGCAACCCGGAATTAACCGGCTCAGGAGTTTGACTTTCCTCTGTACAGCTGGCAAACCCTTGGCCTTCAGCCTCAAAACCGTTGCTCTCTTTTTCCTTAACCGGTTATTTCCGGTTATCGAAACCATCGACGGAGGATTCGAAATTCTCGGCCGGTTCTGTTTCCGAAACCTGAGCTTCACTTTCACTGCTTTAGATAATATAGCTCGGCTCCACAGTGTTCTTCCTCTCGCCGTAACCGCCAGGGATCTATAAGCGGCGTCGCGCACGGCTATACCTCCGCCGCGAGGATGCGGTGTCGCCGATGAATTGTTGTCCGCGCTAATCCGGAGCTCCCTCAGAGCTTGAACGATATTCATCGAGTAAATCTGTTGTTGTTTCTCCGATCGCCATTTCTGCAACGACGTCGTTTGAGACGGTGGTGGCGGTTGTTTCTTCTTCCGCTTACGCCTGGATTGATCATAACCAGAGCTCATCATCGTCCTCGTCGGCTGATTCATCACCGGAGAAATCGACTCCATGTCAATAAGTTGTCGTTATGATGAGAGAATCAACCAAATTCAAAGAGTATCTGCAGAGAGAAACAGATCCAAGAGAGAAAAAAAAATAAAGGAGATTAGCGACTAGGGATAAGAAGATTAGATGGTTGATTAAGGTTTAAAGTGAAACACATCACATTTGGGGACTTGGAGGTGGAAGAAGGTGAGACGTCAAAAGAGTATGTGGAGGAAGAGGAATCCTTTTTTAACAAGGAAAGGTAATGCGATTCGTTTTTATATTATCTTCCTCCATGTGATCTCCACTCTCCATATTTAAAAAAAAAAAAATCATATATTATCATCATTAATGTTGACTAAAATTAAATACTTTTACTTATAGCAGAAAAAACAGAGGAAAGTTTTACAACCCAAATTCTACTTTGTGAAGGTGTTATGCCTTGTTAACATAAAAGGAGAAAAAGACAAAGGTGTCATGCGGCGTATTTTAAAAATGTGCTGATTCAAATACAATGCGTTATGACACAGAAATATTTCCAAAAGGAGACATTAATGCATGAATTTCTCAACCGGAAATTATGCTGACACCAAATTTTCGATATCTTATTTGAGGAGTGGTTTTGGATCAAGGGACCGACAAAAGGAACTAAGGAAGTGGTATAACTTTTTTTATCTGTTTCTAGTTTTTACTTTTTACTCGAAAAAATGGATCTGTTTTACCTTTTTTTTTGTGAGCAGGTAGAGCTGATGAGAATGACTGATGTGTTAGTGTCACCACACGGTGCACAGCTTACTAATTTGGTTCTAATGGATAAAAATAGTAGTGTAATGGAGTTTTCCCAAAAGGATGGCTTAAGCTTGCAGGAGTTGGTCAGCTTGTGTACAAATGGGAGCTAATTGGTCAGGGATGAGACATGAAGGTTCTTGGCATGACCTGGTTGGGGAAACATGTCAGTTTCCTGACACTGATAGGCGATGTATGTCGTTGGTCTATAAGAATGCTATGATTGGATACAATGAGACTTATTTTGGCGAGTGCCGAGTGGGCAAGAAGTGTTTTGGGAAGGTTAGCATTAGAGAGAAGCATGGGATCAAGTAATGCAACTGTTGTTATGGTTCGCTAGATAATGATGTAAAACAGTGATATTTGACGAGGCATAATCATTTCTATATCTTGTGGATATGTTTGGTTGATACAAGTCAGATATATAAACGAATAGCCGCAAAATAGTAACAGTATTACCTGTTTTTTGTTCTTAATAATGAAACCGTTTGGTAAATCTATAAAAAGAAAAAAAAAGTCAAATGAAAAGAAACTGTAGTCGTTATCTATTCTGAGTTTGCTCCTATATAAACCAAGTTTAGGAAAAGAATGACAATTCAAAACACACATCAATTCATTGAAGAGTTTTATTTTTCTCTTACAGTATGGCCTCATCAAGACCTGGTTTTCTGACCAATCCAACACCCAGTTTTCCACAATTCCCAAGACCTGGTTTTCTGACTAATCCAACACCCGGTTTTCTGACCAATCCAAGTTTCCAAGACCTGGTTTTCTAACCAATCCAACACCCGGTTTTCCTCAGTTTCCAAGACCTGGTTTTCCAATCCAACACCCGCAATCCAACACCCGGTTTCCCAACCAATCCAACACCCGGTTATCCTCAGTTTCCGGGGCAAGGTTTTCAAAACAATCCCACGCCTCTCCCTCAATATCCGAATCCCGGTTTTCCAAGCAATCCAACACCCAGTTTTCCTCAATTTCCCTTTCCTAACCCTCAATTTCCTAATCCCGGTTTTCCAAGCAATCCAACACCCGGTTTACCTCAATTTCCCTCTCCTGTCCCTCAATTTCAAAAACCCGTTTACCCTTAGTTCCCTCCTGCAACGCCTGGATCACCCTCCTACAACCTCCAGCCCGTTCCACTGATCACCACTCAGCCGTCTCTCCCCGCAGCCACAACTTCCAGCCCTTGAGTTGTCTCCTCCAAACTCAAAATCTCTTTATGTTTCAAGTTTATTGTAAACAAATTCTTTTGGCATATGTGAAGATGTACTGGTCGCTGTAGGATTGATGAGTATTGACTGTAACATTACTGAATCTTTTGATTTGTAACTATCTATAATATTTAAACGAGACCGAATGAATTATTTATTTGTAAGTATCTACTAATAAGTTTTTTTATCTATGTTTTGTATGCCTCTGATTCCACTACAATGAACCAAATGATCATATCAAGAGAACCAAACAGAAAAAAAAAAACCATAAATTCACAAACCTGTGTGAACTTTATGTATTGGTATCGAAAACCTTGGATTTGGAAAAGACAAAAAGTACAAAAATCTAAAACCTTGTAAGAAAAGCATTGATGAATTTAGTAACGTGAAGCTTTGTACATTATTTTCTTCTCCTAACAGACACTAAGGGTCTGACTGGTTTAACCGCTGCGGTTGCGGTTGCGGGAGTTTGCGGAAGCGGGAGTTTGCGATTAAAAGCTGTTTGTACGACTGGTATAGCAATTCATAGCGGTTGCGTTTGCGGGATATTTTTGACTGGTTAACCAGCGGGTGCAAGAGCGGTTTAACCAAAAGTTACTAAAATAAACATAATATATAATTATTCAAAACATTTATAACCATATTATTAATAATTTTTTTTTAAATATATTCTTTGATTAATTTTTAATTTGAAAACTACCCTTATTTTTTTTGGTTTTGAAAAATACACTTTTTATATGTGAAATGATTATTCCTAATTTAACTAACTAATTTACGAAATTCAAATAAGAAATATAAAATATTAAGATTTGATAATAATTTTGTATCATTTTAACATACTAAACCATCCTAATTACCTGTTTAGTTTTTTTTTAAAAATCAATAAAAATATAAGGTTATTTATATAAAGTTTAAATGGGGTGAGATTAAAGTTGTTTATATAAAGTTTCAAAAATATTTAAATTTTTCAAAAGATAAACATTAAAAATGAAAGATATATTTCTCCATTTTAAATTTTTAATAATTTATAAACTTTAAAATATGTAAAGTTTTAATTTATTTAAAGTTTCATTTGGTTGGAATGTGTATGAGGTTAAGTTGTTTATATAAAGGTCCAAAATATTAAAATTTGTTTCAATTTAACATATACTGTATTTATTGAAAAAAAACTTATTAATTCTATTATTTTTTAATTTTCGTTTTTAATTTGTAATTATTTATTATTTTTTGTTTAAATCACGTCAAAACAGACTTTTTACATTTTAAAAGTGTATTTTTCAAAACAGAAAAAATTAGGGTATTTTCGAAATTTTTAAACATAATTAGGTATTTTTCAAAAAAATATACCCTTATTCCAAATTTGGAGATATTATGTTTTTTTTTTTTTTTTTTCAAACCGCAACCGCCCGCAACCGCAAACGCTTGCGGAAAGGAGCTTTTGATTTCCAGCGATATAGAGCGGTACAGAGTGGTATAGAGCGGTTGAAAGCGGTTGTCGTGATTGTTATAAAACGCTAAGAACCGCTACGAACCGCAAACGCTGCGTTTGCGGGTGGTAGCGGGAGAACCAATCATCACCTAAGTACTAAACCATCTAATGAAAACTGCAGAAATCAACTTCAATCTGCATAAATCTCAGGTTGGTTTAGCCAATTAAGCTTTTCTAAACTCTTCACCAACACTCTTCTCGAGAACCACACTGATCCTCCACAAAACAATCTTACTCTCCATTTTCATGCCTTTGATCTCATACAGCCTCCGAATCAAACCCTTAACGAATCTGAATTCGCAGTTCTTGTACCAATCCCACTGTTGCTCCACAATGCTTTCAACATCTCTAAAACCTCTCCTCACAAGCCCAACTTCCATTCCTCTCTCCACAAGCTCTCTCACCGACTCCACCATCTTCTCTTCAATCTCCTTAACAATCCCACCGTGACTCGCAACATTCACCAACCAAATCGATGCACAGAAGGCACCGTTAAACGCTAACACTCAGCTACTGTTATCTACCAACAACTCTCTCGGTGGGTTTAGCCTTGAGCTTATCTCCGGAACAAGACTGTTCACAGCACGAATCATAAACTCTTCCTTATCACCACCATCTAACCGCATTGTCAAGCACTGGAAGATGTAAACAGCTTTCTCGAAATCTCTTTTACTCTCTGCAATATAGTCCCAAAGATCGAACCACGGGTCCTCCCCGAAGCTGAATGTCTCCACTGCAACGTGGTACACAACCTGAGCGAGAATCTTGAACGTGTTCTCAGGCATTCCTGCTTCTTGCAGGCAAACGATGAGCAACGGCTGGAGATTCTCGATCTCCGCAACGTCTAGCTCCCCGTTCCCTGAAGTGTGGTCACAGAGTAGATCGTGGAGCCCTCTTATCACCACCTCTCTTGTTCTATCGTCAAGCTCAGCTGCTGAAAACACTTGCAAGATCTCCAGAGCAGATCTCTGCGTCAAAGTGTTGTACAAGTAACGGTCAAGATCTTGATTTTCGAGGACAGAGGAATTCTTTTTATTAAATGTGTAATTGTTATTTTCATTAATCACAATGTAAATATACAAAGGAGCTTATAAACATACTTGATAAGCTAAAGGAAACTCATACAAGTAATTAACCGGATATAACCGGACTATACACTCAATACACCCCCCTCAAGTCACTGTTTCAGAGCCTCGTTGCGAAGAAAAGAGACTTGAAACTGAGAAACGATTGAGAAGAGAGTAGAAAGAACCAGGATGAAGCGGCTTAGTGAGAATGTTAGCGTGTTGATTCTCGCTGGCAACAGACATCAACTTCAAGAAACCATTCTTCACTTGATCACGAACGGTATGACAATCGATCTCGACATGTTTCGTACGCTCGTGAAACACCGGATTTGTGGCGATGTATATAGCCGACTTGTTATCACAGAAAAGCTTCGCAGAGGTGCATACCTCAACCTGGAGAAATGTGAGCAACTGTTGCAGCCAAAGCAACTCACAAGTAGTTTGAGCCATGCTCCGATATTCAGACTCCGTACTGCTACGGCTCACCACATCCTGCTTCTTCGATTTCCAGGTGATAAGAGACTTGCCAAGATAGACACAATACCCAGTAATAGAACGGCGAGACTCTGTATCTGTCCCCCAATCAGCATCCGAGAAGGCATTAAGACAGATTGGTGAGGAAGCAGAGTAGAAGAGACCTTGATCCGTATTATTCTTGAGATAACGCAGTATCTTGTGGGCAGCAGCAAGATGCACATCCGTCGGGAATGCATGAACTGACTGAGACAGTGCACAGCAAAGGTAATATCAGGTCTGGTGATCGTCAAGTAGAGAAGACGACCTACCAAAGCTCGATAAGACGTAGGATCCGAGAGTGCAGTGCCTGAGTCCTTCGTTAGTTTGACGGTGGGATCCATCGGAACAGAGCTTGGTTTGCATCCCAGAAGACCAACATCAGATAAAAGATTCAAAGCGTATTTCCGTTGACACACCGAGATTCCAAGAGAAGAACGAGCGATCTCCAGGCCAAGGAAAAATCGGAGTTCGCCAAGGTCTTTAATCTTAAACTCTGAGCTGAGAGATGATTTGATAGAGGTAACTTCATCCTCGCTGTTACTAGCAATCATGATATCATCAACGTAGACCAACACCGCAGTGAACTTTTCACCAACTTGTTTGGCAAAAAGTGTGTTGTCCGAGGCAGACTGCTTGAAACCCGAGCGAAGAAGCACATCAGATAAGCAATGATACCATTGCCGTGATGCTTGTTTCAAGCCATACAAAGACTTGTGAAGACGGCATACTGGATTTGGAGGCAGAGAGCCGGAGCTAGGTGTATAGCCCTGTGGCAAACTCATGTAGATTTCTTCATCCAAATCACTGTGGAGGAAGGCATTGGACACGTCCATTTGAAAGAGACTCCAGCCTTTGATAGCCGCCAAAGCAAGAAGAAGCTTCACACTTGTGAGCTTGGCAACAGGAGAAAAGTTCTCAGTGAAATCCACACCCTCCTGCTGTGTGAACCCCTTTGCAACCAAACGAGCTTTATACCGCTCTATAGTTCCATCAGCCTTATACTTGATCGTATAAACCCATTTACAACCCACCACGTTCTTACCAGGAGGCAATGATTCAATAGTCCAAGTCCTGTTGACTTCCATGGCCTCAAGTTCTTCATTCATTGCATGTCTAAAATGCGGAGAAGTCATAGCCTGTTTAAACGTCGTTGGTTCCGTCTCAAGGGAATAAGAAAGAACATAGGACTGACACTACATGAAAAAAGGTTATTAATAGCATCCGAAAAACGCTATCTAACGATACGATAGCGTTTTGACAAGCGCTTTATCATCGCCCGTCATTGTAGGTCTGAGACTTTAGATAGCGGTTTTCTGTACTGCTATCATATTTTCGTTTCTAATAGCGGCTTTCTGTTTGCTATTAAATACTTTTTAATAACGTTTTGAAACAGTTATTAATAATATTATTGACAGCGTTTATTAATTGTTATTATTACTTTTATCATAGCGTTTAGGGACACATTATTATTTCTCCGAGTTTTATTATAGCAGTTGTTAAAACGCAATAGTAGAGTGCAAATGCAACAAACTTTTGAGCTGATTTTGTCACCTCATTTGCTATTACTGGTATCGTGTTCACCTGATAATTTGCTTCGAAAACTTAGTAGCAATATTAAAAGTACTGACTTATATTGATAAGGTCACAAACATACATAGGTTCAACAAATGAGTCTCATCACAATGCATATCTTACAAATCTAAAGAGACATGTCTTACAACAATACAAGTTTGTCATTTGGCCAAGCCACTGTGGTTCCTACTGCATCACTCACAAATGCAACCTCAGAATTTGGTCTCCAAACTTGTGCATCATCAACCTTCGAAACTTCTACCCAAACCTTGCTTGCATTCAAACCTAAAGGCACGAAATGCACCTTCTCTGCTGGATCAGTTGAAGAAACACGGCCTACTGCAACTCTCTGCCCAGAGCCGTTACAATCTAGTAGAATGCACTTCTGTTTTCCTCCTTTGCTACTACCACTGCTATTGCTACCACTCTGACACTCAAAATTGTAAAGGCATTCATCAGACTAACATCTTAATACGTTCGCTAATTATAATCCTATGTCCTACTACCGTATTCAAAGTAATGGAAATACTAGTTACAGAAACTTACAAGAGGCGACTTTTTGGTTGATCCATCCGGTGTAGTTGCAGTCGCCAAATGTATCTTATGAATAGGCCATGCAATGTTCTGATTTACAGCATCTCCCATCTTTGATATTTCCTCATTAGGTCTCCATAGATAAGCATCAGCTTTCAGTACAATATCGACCTTAACAATTGCAGCATTCGGACCCAAAGGAATATGATTGAGAAATTCTTTTGGGTCAGTCGACAACAACACACCCTCAGCAATCAAATCATTATCCGTATTCCAATCAAAAATCTGAACTCTTCCTATCGACGCATCCGTAGCCTAAGTAGTCATCGAGAAATAAAAGACAATAAACTAAGTTACGATGAAAACATTCCAATCATTACAAAAATACTATCTCAGTACAATATTACCTCGGATCCTACTGTGTTGGGGGGTTGGGATGAGTTCACATCATCGTCCAAGATAATCTTATCAGATGGCCATGCGATTTTAAATCCAACAGCTTGACCAAGTGAGACAATGGTTTGAAAGGGCCTCCAGACAGAAGCTTCTAAGACTGATGCAGACTTCACAGTAACAGCTGTCGCGTTAGGACCTAACGGAATTCGACCAATCATGTAGGTTGGTTCGCTTGAGCAGAATTCCCCTTCCCCAATAACAACATCATCTTGTGCATACCAATCCAATAGCTGACACCTAATTCCACCTTTCTTTACCTCGCTGAACTCAGCCGCATATACATCATCATTCTGTATCTGAGAAGATTGATGTATTTAACCAAACATATATAAGTTAACAACATAATTGAACTTATAAGTACTCTTTTTGAAAATATAAACATGAGAAATACCTTTTTAGCAGCTAAGTCACTAACGACATTGCGCAGCTCTTCAAGTTTAGTAAGTAACTCTGCTTGAGTTGCTTCAAGCTTTTGAACATGTGAGTCTCTGGATTGTAAGAATGCCAGATTTGTAACCGTAGCTCCTCTGCCCATTCCTCTGAGTCTTCCAGGTCTGTCTATTCCTAATACTTGACTCACAGCATATTATCTGTAGATGTCGAGTCCATCTCACTATCAATTGACTTGATTTGTTCCTGAAATAAAATGTGCCAGAGAGTATAGAAAATTGACATTTTTAGGTAACATTAAGAAGCACGATACTGAAATTAAATCATTCTTACAATTGTATCCGCAAATTCTTCTCTCACTGGTCTCCCATCAAAATGAGTGTGTCCTGCTACCCAAACCTTGCTTCTAGTAATTTTACTAGGATCAGATGATTTTTTTTTCTACAATTTGAAAACAATGTGTATCACATTAAGTAATCCGCATAAACATAACAACTATCATTCATTATATAATCAAATACCATGTCGTGAGCTAGGCGAGTCATTCCTTTACGGCTTGTTGTGTGTGGAATTTGACCTTTCCTAAGTTGCCTGTATCGCTCACTTTGTTCCTATTTACACTAGAATGTCAGCTCACGTGAAAAAGTATGATATATTTCGTTTGAGGAATAAAATAGCTAGAGAAAGTGTCCAAAACTTTACCGCGAAAGCATGACTGGTTTTCTTTTTAACCCAAGCGTTCCATGCTGCTGTAGATTGTATGTTGCTTGGCTTCAATTTCTGCAGCTGCGACTTATTTTTCGTGGCACGAACAAGAGTGACAAGCTTAGACTTCGAGGTCCTCCACAAACATCCCATCTGTCTGAAGACAGTTTCTTTTTGCCAACTTTCTTTCAAGTTGAACCTTCCCTAACATACATTGCAAAGCTAAGCATTAATAAATGGCGTCTGATATATACATGTATTGAGCTATGAAAATAGTTAAGTACCTGAATTTCTTCCCACAAGGTCTCTCTTGTCTGCTCGTCCAGGTGTCTCCAGTCATCAAGTAGTACTGGTACATGCTCTCTCACAAGAGGACCAACAAACGAGGAGAGTGTTACTGATCCACTACCAACATGCTCACCTAAAGAAGTGAACTCTACTTCTACCTTGTCTTCATGATTTTTGGCAACTTTTCGCATCTTAGTTGGACCTCGTGTCTTCCTCTTCTTGCTCTCTGATTGTTGTGTCTGAACTTCTTCTGTAGAAGTTGTTACTTCTACGGTATTAGGTGGAACCACAGGTTGCTCTACTTCTACGTCGTCTACCCATTCTTCCCCATTAGGCGAATGACCTTCAGTCATTTGGTTCTCTCTGGAGATTGCATCTCCATTTTCGTTCTCTCCACCTATCTCAGTATCATCTTCAGCATCTACATTCTCCTCTGATACTCTATCAGACTCGTAATCATCACCCTCAGTTAAAAAATTCTTCTTGTTCTTCTGCAGGTTCGCTGCATCTAAAGGACTTACATCAAGTCCTTGTTGACGCTTACTGCGACGGACTAAGCCTCCAGTTTTCAGCATCTGAGCTTACCTGAAACAGAACCCACAATTCTTTAGCACAATTGTTAATCCACAACTAAGACACCTTCACAATCATCTCTAACGCAAAAGGTCTCATCATCAGACGACGGGTCTCCCTCTTCCTCAATTTGTTGAACTGATAATGTTGATGAAACAAGTTCCTCTTCTGTCTCTAACTCATGGTATCCTCTTGGTGGCGCCCTCATAACGACATACCAAGGTGAAGACTCATCCTCTCTAGAGTAAAACACTTGTTTTGCTTGTGATGGAAGAATGTACGGATCATGCAAGAATGCCGACTGGTTCATATGGAGATTCACAAGCGTAAAGCCGTCTTCCTCTTTCAATCCATTTCCTTTGTTGGCCCATGTACACTTAAACAGTGGAACCTGGAACATGTGGTAGTCCAGCAAGATGATCTCCTTTATGACTCCATAGAAAGTGACGATGTCAGCCATATGTCTATTATCCTTAGCACTAGCTCTACACATCGAAAACGCTTCATAAGATACACCACTGTTCTGTGTCTTCCTCTTCACATCGTCAGTATGGAAACGATGACCATTTATAACATATCCCTTGAAACTCTGAGCAACACGTCTTGGTCCAAAAGCAAGCCATCTAAGCCTTGTCGAATGTTCCTTGGAGTTTGTTGGTATCTGCAAAATTCAGTGAACATCACCAAACAAGTCTCAACTTGAAAACCAGTAGAAACAGAGTAACATATGAAATAGAGACAGACAGAAGTTATTTGACGGAAGTAAAAACAAGTACCTTTTCTTTAATCTACTGTGGGAATCTTTCGTTATGGTATTTCCAGAGAAGAGTTTCATTTTTCGCACATCTTACGTTATTAGATTGTAGTTCTTCCAAATGCAACCTGTGAAAGTCGAAGTTATTTCTTGATAAAATGGAAGTTACGATTTTAGACATATTACTTATTGTATATAATGAGTTTAGAACTTACTCAACATATGAATCCATTACAGCTGTAGTCATTAGGATGTAACGATGAGCTATGTCTCGCTCTTTATCCGTAAGCGTCACCTCCGTAGCTTTCTGTAGTGGTTGCCCTTCAAGGACTGGTTGATCTGCCTCAATATCCTCATTCCGATTGACTGATTCATGTGTCGGGACGGATTTCTTAAGAAATTCCATGCAGAAGGCAATGCATTCACCAGACAAATACCCTTCAGCCATACAAGCTTCTGGTCTTGCAAAATTCTTTACATATGCCTTCAATGTCTTCATGTACCTAATGAACAGATAAGAAAACTAGTTACAAATGCTATCATCATACAATCTGAAGTGTATACGAAAAACACATAACATTACCTTTCAAATGGATACATCCAACGAAAATGTACTGGTCCACCTAAACGTGCTTCTCTTGCTAAATGAATTGGAAGGTGAAACATTATGTCAAATAATGAAGGCGGGAAAAATCTTTCCAGTTGACACAGTGTTTCCACGACCTCTGCTTCTAATGCCACAAGTTTCTCTGGATCAATAACACGCTGACAAAGTCTGTTGAAGTAATTGCAGAGTCTAGTCACTGCAATCCGAGGTCCTCTTGGCAGTAAACCTCTCAAGACCACAGGAAACAAATTCTGCATCAGTACGTGGTGGTCATGCGACTTCATGCTTCCAATAATTGGAGGTTCGACAGAGACACAATTAGATATATTTGCACAATAGCCATCAGGTCCTCTAAACTTTGACAATCTCCTACAGAATCTAACCTTTTCTTCTCTAGAAAGCCAGTAGGCAGCAGGAGGTAAGTAAGCCCTCTTCCCACGTACCTCTGAATGTAAGTTGCTTCGAATTCCCATGTCTTCTAAATCTTTACGGGCTTTCAAGCCATCTTTTGATTTCCCGTTATGCATTAGAATAGACAACAATGCATATGATACATTCTTTTCCACGTGCATGACATCAATATTGTGACGCACAGGCATATCCTGCCACATGATTCATAAGTTAAACTCAAAGACATTTCATAGAACAATTAGTCACGAAAAAGAAAAAACAAGCAGAGACAAACTAACCTTCCAATATGGTAAGTCAAAGAAGATGGACCTCTTTTTCCAGCGCCATAAATCATTGTCTTCATCATAATCTTCAGGGGAATTCTCATCATCTGCATTTATATCTGATCTTTATTTTTTGCCTTTCCTATCTAAAGGTTTTCCAAATACATTCCGGAAATCCTTTAGACACTGGAATATTTCTGCTCCACTCTGAATCCTATTTGCAGTCCCAGACTCAATAGTGTTGTCAAACCATCCTTTTCTACTTCTGTACGGATGACCAGGCCTTAGACGCTTCCTATTGCACATGTGCACATGCTTTCTACTGAACTTTAACCATCTGTGAGGTGTATCCTTCCCACATACATTGCAAGCTTGTTTCCCCTTCACTTTACATCCAGCTAGTGTCCCTAAACCGGGATAATCAGTTATACTCCACAGCAACATAGCTCTAAGAGTAAAACTTTCTTTCTTAAATGAGTCGTAAACCTCAATACCTTCGTTCCAAAGATCCTTCAGGTCGTCTATCAATGGTTGTAGGTAGACGTCGATATTATTGCTAGGCGCAGTCGGTCCAGGGATCAACATTGTCAGCATAATTTTTTCGGCTTTCATACACTCCGTTGGACCCATGTTGTAATTGACTAAAAGCACTGGCCATGTGCTGTACTTGGTGTTTTGAATAGAGAATGGATTCATACCATCTGTGGAAAGACCTAGTCTAAGGTTTCTCGCTTCAGCAGCAAAATCCGGCCATTTATCGTTTGCCTGAATCCAAGTCAACGAGTCTACTGGATGTCGCATAGTATCATCAGTAGTAGCATTAGAAAAATGCCACCGCAACTCTTGAGCCAACCGTTTTGATCTGAACATCATCCTTAGTCTATCTTTTATCGGAAAATAACGGAGCACCTTTGCTGGAACTCCTTTCTTCTCCTCACCAGAGTGTTTATCTCTTTCCCATCTTGAATCACTACATCGTGGGCAGCTAACTAAATTCTCATACTCATTCCGATAGAGAATGCAATCATTCTTGCAGGCGTGAATGTTGTCGTATCCAAATCCAAAAACCTTCAAAAACTTCTTCATCTGATCTGTGGACTTAGGCAACACATTTTCCTCAGGTAGCATGTCACTGACTAACACCAAAAGCTGATCGAAATAATTTTCAGACATACCACTCTTAACTTTAATTCTATAGAGGCCCATAATTGCAGAAACCTTGGTAAAGTTCTCATACGTCGAATACAGTGGAGTCTCTGCGTCCTCTAATTTCTTTCTGAACTCAACTTCTTCATCACACTCCGTATCCTCAAACTCATCCGCATTCTGTTTCTGAGATGGTTGATTGAACTCATTTGCCATAAAAGCTGTCCTAATCAGATCATAAGCCTCTTGCTCTGACGTCTGAACATCACTGCTCTTAGCATCTCTTGTATCACCATGTTTACTCCAACATTTGCTTCTCTTGTACTTCTGATCCATCCCTCTAATCACTAGATGTTCCAGGATTGTTTCGCTTGATTGGTGACAAACATTGCGGCAATCAATGCAAGGACAGAACAAAGCAGCTGGATTACCCAAACCTCTAACTGATACAGACACAAACTTAGTAGCTCCTTGCTCATACTCAAGACTATTCCTATAATTTAGATGAAAGGGAAAAATATTATCACGTTATCTAAAAACGATGTAGTTAAAAAAGCGTACAAGTGTTTAACACTAGAAACAACGTACCTTGGTAACCAGACCCAAGCTTTGTCCATCATACAACAGCTCCGAGCAGATGTTTGAAAAAGTAATTCTACATTCACGTTAAGCCACACCAAAAGTACAAAACATGAAACAAGTATCAGTATTGAGTGAGATACCTGATAGAGATCTGGAGAGGCCTGATTTTGTGTTTGAAGAACCTGCAAGAAGAAAACAAAAGCAACAATGCAATTGGATTAAACTTAACAGAAATCATACTCGAAATAATTAAAAATCATGCAAATTACAAATACCTTGAACAGAAGCTCTTAGTGGAGAAGAAATCGCACTGCAAAAGAGTTAAGACAATCAGAATGAATCAATTCAACATAGTAGATTCGAAATTTAAACTCAAGTTCGTTGTAAATCAAATTTTATCAAAGACAAGAGAGAAAGATTTTGTTTCACCTGCAACGGATTTCGTGACCTACAAAGCGTTCGTCTATCGACTATGTGAGTTGGATTAGCGGCTAACGACAAACGGAGAAAACAGTGAAGTCGAATGCTGGTCAATCTCGACTCTTGCTTCGAACAGCTGATCCCGGAGAAGGTTGAAAGGTTAAAATTGATACAAAATGGATGAATTGAAGAAGGAATTGGAAAGATATAGCAGAATTTGACAGGGAATCGTAAAATCGAGCAAAGGTGAGCAAAGGAGGAAGAACACGAATTTTAGGTCAAATGAATTGGGGATTTTCTGTTTCAAGAGCCTAAAAAATTTCGGTCCTAATTTTTTACTAAGTGTCGCGGGATTTTTTTTTTGTTTTTCCGCCTAAAAGTATAATAGCGTTTTAAAAGTAAAAATGCTATTGATCTGAACACTATCCTTTCTAAAATGTCACGCAATTTGTTTTAATTAATCTGAACACTATACGATAGCGTTTGCTAACCCTAAAACGCTATCTAAAAAACCGGGTATTGAAAACATAGCAGTTTTGCCAAAAACGCTATAAAACTGTGCTATTAAAAACCAATATTCTTGTAGTATGATATAGTGGGGTAAGGGCAGAATAGTTGAGAACATTTGAGAGAGGGTAGACAGTGGTGGAAGGAATAGAATCAGGAGAAGGAATATCAAAAGGAGAAGCAAAAGGCTTAGAAATTTGAGTGAGGGAACAGTGGTACTCAGATAAGTAACCAGGAGCCTTAGGCGCACGTTTAGGTCGTGACATGTTATTGAGAAGCCGACTCTGTCCTGTGCCCTGTGAAACAGTCTCTCGTGATATAGATGTGGCATTAGAGCGTGATGCAGATGCATGAGATGAATGCGATGCATCAGAAACATGAGAATCAGCAGGAACAGAAGATGCAGCAGGAACATGAGATGCAGCAGGAACAACATGAGAATCAGGTGCAATAGGAGCAATGTTAGAAACCGGTGAATGAAAGTCAAGGCCAACCGGAATTGGTAAGGGTAAAATCGTTTTCGAAAACACATCAGGGGAAACATTAGAAGAATCATTTTTAAAAGGAAAAACAGTTTCATGAAAGACCACATTTCGACTAATAGAAATAAGATTGGTGTCAAGATGTAAAACTTTGTAACCTTTGCAACCGGATGGATAACCCAAGAAAACACAAGCATCAGCCCGAGGGGAAAACTTATGACGATCTTTAGGCAATGTAGAAACATAGCAAAGACAACCAAAAGAACGTAGAAAAGAGTAATCAGGGGTTTTCTTTGCCAAAATTTCAAAAGGGCTGAGCTTATTCAAAAGCAAAGAAGGAGTGCGATGATAAGAAAAACAGCAGTGTAAACACAATCACTCCAATAAACCAAAGGTAAATTCGACTGAAAAAGCAAGGCACGAGCAACATTAAGAAGATGCTGATGTTTACGTTCAACAACTGAGTTCTGCTGTGGAGTATATGCACAGAATACTGATGAATAATGCCAAAATCATGAATGAGTTTAGGGAAAGCAAGTTCAGGTGCATTGTCACTGCGAATCATCTTAATTGTCAATTGATATTGAGTCTGAATATGCTTCACAAAAGATGGAAAAATAGTAGAAACTTCACTTTTATTACGCATCATATAGATCCAGGTTACACGACTACAATCATCAACAATGGTTAAAAAATACTTGTAACCTTCTATAGATTCTACTGAAAAAGGACCCCAAACATCCAAATGAACAAGATCAAATGGAGCTTTTGACAAACGACTATTTGATGGAAAAGATAAACGTTTCTGTTTAGCTAAGGGACAAATGCAACAATGATCAGAACTAGCAGCTTTACTCAAATGCAGAATACCAGAAAGATGTTGTAACTTGGCAGAAGATGGATGGCCAAGGCGCTGATGCCAAAGAAGACCATCATCATGCAAGGATCCACAGAAATTTGAAGGAGAATTAGCAGTGACTTGAAGAATATAGAGTTGTTGATGAGAGTTCCTCTACCAATCATCAAGCCCTGAGTAGACTCCTGAATGATGCAATGATCAGCATAAAAGTGAGCAGAACGATCATCATGTTTAAGCAAACTACTAACACTGATGAGATTAAATCGGAAAGATGGAACATGCAGAACATTATGCAATGTCAATGATGAATGTATATGCACAGTGCCTGTGTGACTAATAGATTCTCTAATGCCATTAGGGAGAGAGACTGTAACACAGACACCGGAAAGGTCTCACTAAACAAAGACAAGTCAGAACAAACGTGAGTCGTGGCTCCACTGTCAATTATCCAAGAGCCACTCGGTAAAGAATTATAAAGAGAAGATAAGCATTGATGCTGAAAAGTGAGGCAATTGTTTTCAAAACGAAGGCTTGAAGAAGGAAAAGGAATGTTATGAGATAGAAAAGAGACGATACCAGCAGACGATTCAGCAGCCATATGACCTCCCTCAGTGATAGACGCGCGTTGAACGGGAACATGAGACTCAGGAGGCTTAACGTGACTTTGGAGCTGTTGAAGCAAAGTCTGGAATTGATCGGTGTTGAGTTGACTCAAGTCAATATTGATCGCATTCGTGGCCGGAGCTGGCATATAGAGAGGACCAGAAATCACATTTGCAACAGTGTTGGATTTCTGATAACCTTGAGCCTGAGAACGGTTCTGTGAATGCACAGACTGAGATTGTTGACCACGAGACGTCTGAGACTGTTGTTGACCAGAAGCTGTATGGAACTTGTGACCCGGAGGATATCCGTGAAGCTTGAAGCACTTCTGAACAACATGACCCAATTGACCACAGTGGGTACAAATTGGACGCTGGCGAGGACGATAACCATTGTTGTACTGAGTAGCAAACGCAGCATTATCAGCAAGAGTCTCAGATGACAAAGATTGAGTATCATCATGAGGGCCAGAGTTCTGGAAAACAACGTTGTCCTGTCGCGAGCTTGGCTTGATCGATTTCTGGCGTTCATCTTGAGCCACCATATTAAAGACATCTTCAATCGAAGGAATTGGCTTCATCATCAAGATGTGACGACGAGTAGGTTCAAATGCTTCATTCAATCCCATCAAGAACTTCATAACTCTGCTCCGTTGTTGCAACGATTCCCATAAAGCAGCCAGCATTACATTCACAGCGACCACAAGTGCACACAGGAAGCTCAATATAATTCTTGTACTCTTCCCAAAGAGTCATCAATTCGGTATAGAAGCTACTAACATCCATAGAGCCTTGTTGCAAGCATCCTAAACGTTGTTCAATCTCAAAAACACGAGGAGCATCATCTTGCTTGAATCTAGCTAGGATATTCTTCCAAATCGATTCAGCAGTACTCATAAACAACAAGCTCTGAGCGATTTTCTTACTAACAGAATTCATAATCCATGTGGCGACCATGTCGTTACAGCGTGACCAAGAGCCGGCATCGCGATGATCTGCAGGAGGTTTCGGAATGTTCCATCGATGAAACCCAGTTTATTCCGAACATTCAACGCCATCCGAACAGAGCGACGCCATGAGTGGAAGTCAGCACAGATTGAAGACGATCGGAGACGAGAATCAATCCGGCATGATCGGAAGCTGTGCAGGAAGTATGGATTCTCGTATTGATCCAGATATTGAGGCGGAGCAGCCATTAATAGAGAGGGATTGTGCCGAAAGGAAAGTGAAAGCAGCAATCAAGAGGTCAACAAAAGAAGAAAATGGCGAGAAAGACGCAAAATGAAAAATGGCGAAGATAAGAAAGAATCAGCAAAGAAAATCAATCGTGAGCTCGGAGAGTAGACGCATCGGTGAGATACTCATCGATCTGAAGAAATCGGAAGGAAATCCGATGAGAAACGAGCTCAATCGAAGAAAATTCAGCCGAGAAAGTGCCGAGAAACGATGAGAAAGCGGAAGAAAGAACGAGAAAGTTTGTTATTTCTCTCTGATACCATATTAAATGTGTAATTGTTATTTCTCATTAATCACAATATAAATGTACAAAAGAGCTTATAAACATACTTGATAAGCTAAAAGAAACTCATACAAGTAATTAACCGGATATAACCGGACTATACACTCAATACTTTTTTAACAAGTTAATGCGAATCGTTTTTATATTATCTTCCTCCATGTGATCTCCACTCTCCATATTTTTTTTTAAATCATATATTATCATCATTCATGTTGACTAAAATTAAATACTTTTACTTATAGCAGAAAAAAACAGAGCAAAATTTTACAACCCATATTCTACTTTGTGAAGGTGTTATGCGTTGTTAACATAAAAGGAGAAAAAGACAAAGGTGTCATGCGGCGTATTTTTAAAATGTGTTGATTCAAATACAATGCGTTACGACACAGAAATATTTCCAAAAGGAGACATTAATGCATGAATTTTTCTCAACCGGAAATTATGCTGACACCAAATTTTCGATATCTTATTTGAGGAGTGGTTTTGGATCAAGGGACCGACAAAAGGAAGTGGTATAACTTTTTTATCTGTTTCTAGTTTTTACTCGAAAAAATGGATCTGTTTTACCTTTTTTTCTTTCTTATCTCAAGTTAAGTTAGTGTCCAATTCGTACAATTCCTCTTTTTGTACATCTGGAATCTGTTACTTGTGCACTTTCTTTAGAGTTTAGACTTCACTTTAGCAAATGCTTTATTGCGCCTAATTATCTTTGTACTATAACAATATTTCAGGATCGCTAGCTCAAACTTTATTTGAATGGCGAAACTCTCATCGGAAGGAATTTTACCTAAGAAGTTCCAATAGACTACGCATATATAAATCGTCTGGTTCTCTTTCAGTTTTGCAAATCTTTAATTCTTTAGTGGGGTTCAACATAAATACCAATCAACTTTGGCGTAAGTTAAACCCCCGAAAAAAAAAAAAAAAAAACTGTTGGCGTAAGTTTAAGTAAATAATTGAAATGTCTGTGAAGAGATCGTGTCACCCAAACATTTGTAGCTTCTTTTAATTTGCAAGACACATTGCCTTGCATCAAACACGTCGAATTTTGAATTAGTGTAGTGTTGAAACTTGATACTCTCCTTAAGAAACTTGCAAGTTATAGAACTTGCATACTGTATAATTGTAAATGAACACAAATAAATCATTCATCTTCCTAATTATCTCCGACAAACCGTTCATTTTGTTATTAGATAGATAATACTTCCAAACAAACATCAGAGCCCCCGGGACCCACATTTTATCCAAATTGGATAACGTGAATTTCTTCATCAAAACCAAAGGATATGAATTTTTCCTAGAGCAATCCGACGCAGAAAATAAAACAATTTTAATGGAAGGAAATGTGATCTCTGGCTTCAGAGTTTCAAACAAAAGTCTTAATAGACCCTTACATAAACTTTTTGAAAAGAAACAGACATGTTTTATGCTAATAACTAACACATATAACAACCAAAGTAAAGACTTCTAATTAATGGAAATGATCTAGAAAACGCCGGAAAGGAGATTAGCAGCAGTGGAAATGGCTGCTCCGGTGAGAGCAGACTGTACCACTTGCTCATGGCTTGTCCTCTCTGAGGTCATAGCCATCGCCGCTCCTGTCAATGCTCCAGCCACCGCGCTGTTCCTCTGCAGATATATATATATATATATATATATATATACGATTACAAATTTATTTAAAGAATATATATATATAAATTACATTCAAAATGATATATAGTTATAACAAGATTTGTCTCTAATGGGACAATAATGTTCATTTCACTAACCCAATCATGAGCTCCTCCACGAGCCTCCTTCATACCATAAGTAATACCCGAGTACAATCCGGCAGCTAGCCCTGCCATACCAAAATTAATTAATCATCTTACTCTTAGTTAAATCTGTCAACCTCTTAACATAATATATGTATACAAACTCACCCCATTGGAGAGATTCTTTTCCTGTATTCTTCACCTAGAGACCAACCATTTTAAACCATATTACAACATTAACCATCAGTCAACTAATTAACACAAAAACTAATGACAAATCTTTGTGTCTTGCATGCATTTGCTTTACAAACACCAATTGCAACATAAATGCACACAATACACAACATAAATGCACACAATACACGTTCGTAATATGTACTACACAAATGGGGAAATATTCGATGTAGATAAAAATGAGTAAAAATTAGCATTCGTTTGTAACTAAACTCACCAATGCTTCAAGAGATTTGCTGCTGCTTTCCCCTGAAAATGTAAAAACAAACACAATATATCAACATAAACGTAATATTAATATATATCTCATCAACCATATACTATACAAATTTAATTGCATGACATAAACGGACCTCTGAGATTAGGGAACCTATGTTTCTTGCTTCCGGTTCCGGTATTCTCCGACGGTGGACCCACGTTGCTCGAGTCAAACCCTGCCCCTGAATTTATAATCAATTTTAAAAGTTCATTTCTATTTGACTTATATATTGGAATACGAGAAAATAAGTAACAGAGTCGCCGGAGCTTTTACCATCAACAACCGTAAAGTAAGCTTCCCTCGACACGGCTTGTAAAGCTCCAACCTTCACAAATCCATTTTAAGCTAATCTTAATACATATACACTCTTATGTTTATGCATATTTATCAATTTATATGGAACAAAAACTTACTCCCGCGGCTTTCACGAAAGAGTCGGCGATGCGGTTGAGAAGAGGATGGCCAAGATCGAACAAGCTTGCCTTCTCAAAGCTTCTTATCTCATCCATCACTTTTCTTCCTCCACTCTTTTCCATCTTTCCTTCTTTTCTTCTTTCAATTCTTCTCTCTTCGCTTATCTTTTTGCTTCTCTATCTCTCTCTCTCTCTCTGTTAATACTTTCTCTCTTCACAACAAGTAAGGAGAAGAATGTGGAACAGAACAGAGAGAGCTCTCTCACTTCCCTGACACGTGTTCTGCTATTCCACACGTGTCGGAGTCTTACGTTTGAACTGTTCGCCGCTCTCCTTCCCACGTGGCTCTTGCTTGATATACTAAATTCGACGAGAAATAAAAGGCCCAATGGGCTTGAGATATAAACCGGGTTTTTGAAATCTCCGGTTTAAAGACGAGAAACGTGCCACGTGTCTCATCTTTGAGATCTCCGCCTCCGCCCGTCTCTGTCTCTCCGGAGTGAGTATTTGTCATCTCCGTCACTCCCATTTTCTTCTACAGATCTCTTTCACTCTCTCTCTAACAAGTAACAATGCATTCAGCTCTCTCTCTTTCCTTCTCACAGGCGTCACTTCCTTTACCGAATCGTCCGCTCTGTTCATTGAACGCCGCTCCTTCTACGCCGAGGAGTCTCCGGTTCTGTGGACTCCGGCGGGAGGCGTTCGGTTTCTCCCCTTCGAAGCAGCTGACCTCATGCCGTTTCCAAATTCATAGTAGGAGGATCGAAGTCTCTGCCGCTGCTTCTTCTTCTTCCTCCGCTAATGGCAATGGAGCTACGTCGAAATCGTTCGATTATGATTTGGTCATTATCGGAGCTGGAGTTGGCGGCCACGGAGCTGCATTGCACGCCGTTGAGAAGGTCTGCTTTCTTCCTGCTTCTAATTTGTAATAAACAAGCTCGATTATGTTACTATGCTTTGCCAATAATCTGAATCAAATTGATACGGATTCCATTTATCTTCTCAGAACACGAATCGACTCGTTCTTAGCATTATTTTTCTTAGGCTATACGAACTTGAAGCTCTTACATATGTGTATATATGGTTCATCTAAGTCGTATGGCTTATTTGTGAGATTATTTTTCTTTTCCTCTACACTCTTGCTTGATTGAGCCGTTAAATTGCGAGATTTATATTGGGATCAAATGCTTTGTTTATATAAAAAGGGTACAATGATTCATAGCAACATCGTACTATCTTGTATCTATTACTGTAATTCAACAGGGTTAATTTTTGTTTCGATAACGTTCTTTAGGGACTCAAAACTGCAATCATTGAAGGAGATGTTGTGGGAGGGACTTGCGTCAACAGAGGGTGCGTGCCTTCCAAAGCTCTCCTTGCTGTTAGTGGTAGGATGCGGGAGCTCCAGAACGAACATCACATGAAGGCATTTGGTTTGCAGGTAATACTAAATGATGCTGGCTTGTAACTGATAGTCTCACGCTCTTTAGACATATTTAGATTCAGAAGCTAGGGTTGACTCTTTTGATTTCTTCTTGGAATGCAACTAGTAGTCCTTGAAATGATTGTAGATGTTTAAACGTTTGATTTCGATTGATTGTGAGGAAAGTAGTATCGCCTTGGCTCTGATTCTACCTTGCTTCCTTTGTCTCCTCTGGAACAGGTTTCAGCTGCCGGTTATGACCGTCAGGGTGTGGCTGACCATGCGAGTAACCTGGCTACCAAGATTAGAAATAACCTCACCAATTCAATGAAGGCACTTGGTGTTGACATATTGACAGGCTTTGGCTCTGTTCTGGTCAGTATGTTATTGTCTTTGGTTGATAACTTCACATGATATGCTGTTTCTTAGTTAGCGATCCTAATACTCTTTAGTCTTTTGTGTACTTGTTCAGGGGCCACAAAAGGTTAAATATGGAAAGGTCGGTTTCCCTGACAATATTATCACCGCCAAAGATATAATCATTGCAACTGGATCTGTACCCTTTGTCCCGAAAGGAATTGAAGTTGATGGTATGTGTTTTGTTTTAAACATATATATTCTAGGGAGGATCCTCAATGCACAAAACGTCTCGTCTCTGTTACTGATAGTATAGCAAGTCCCTTAAAATTCCGCATATTTTTGCTGTAGGAAAGACTGTTATCACAAGTGACCATGCATTGAAATTGGAGTCTGTTCCTGAATGGATTGCGATAGTAGGAAGTGGTTATATCGGTCTTGAGTTCAGTGATGTTTACACGGCCCTTGGAAGTGAGGTAACATGTTAGTTTGTAATATTTATTTGCATTAGTATGAGCAAGTGGTGTTTGTTTTCTTTCAGTAAGTTTTTACTTCTCTAAATAGTAACAGAAGGCTCTATTGGTAATCAAACTGAAAATGAGCTATTGCTATGTTTTGTTTCTTAAGGATTGTGATGCAGTAGAACTTCATGAAGTGACCAAAGTTGGTGCAAAATTTTGTGCAGGTAACATTTATTGAGGCTCTGGATCAGCTGATGCCTGGATTTGATCCTGAGATCAGTAAGCTGGCTCAAAGGGTTCTGATAAATCCAAGAAAGATTGACTATCATACTGGAGTCTTTGCAAGCAAAGTAAGCCTTTTTATATGTAATTTCTTTCTTATACAGCGTGTTTGTGGATTTTCATTTGTTTTTAACTCTTTTTTACAGATCACTCCAGCAAAAGATGGAAGACCAGTTATGATTGAGCTTATTGATGCCAAAACCAAGGAACCCAAGGATACTTTGGAGGTAAACAAAAATGTCATACGAAAAAATTTTTAAAGTACCTCTGACTTTTTTACATCATTAATCTGAAATGATTAATGATGCTGCATAAGAGAATGACTGTGCTGCTGCTTAGTACCCATATCCGAGACTTAATCTCACGTCCTACCAGTTATGTGCTTTTAGTGGATCCCTAGAAATCTTTTCTCACTGTTTGGTTGTCACACTCTCACTACGATATTGTGGCACTTTTACTATTTCCATGTGGACTTTCCACGAGCCGAAACATATAAGTTATTACATGCATACTTGCGTAGGTTAGCTAGGGCTTCTCATTTTCTAGAGTTTGATATGTTTTCTCCCACAAAAAAGAATAAGAAACAGAAATGTTTTTGAAATTCTATCACAACTGACACTTTTATGGCTTTTCTTTTCTTTTCTCAAGGTGGACGCTGCTCTTATTGCTACAGGAAGAGCTCCATTCACCAGTGGTCTTGGCCTGGAAAATGTAAGAGATGAAAATAAACCGCATCCTCTTAGCATCGACTTTTGGTTCTCTGAGTTTATATGGTTATNACACGGCTTGTAAAGCTCCAACCTTCACAAATCCATTTTAAGCTAATCTTAATACATATACACTCTTATGTTTATGCATATTTATCAATTTATATGGAACAAAAACTTACTCCCGCGGCTTTCACGAAAGAGTCGGCGATGCGGTTGAGAAGAGGATGGCCAAGATCGAACAAGCTTGCCTTCTCAAAGCTTCTTATCTCATCCATCACTTTTCTTCCTCCACTCTTTTCCATCTTTCCTTCTTTTCTTCTTTCAATTCTTCTCTCTTCGCTTATCTTTTTGCTTCTCTATCTCTCTCTCTCTCTCTGTTAATACTTTCTCTCTTCACAACAAGTAAGGAGAAGAATGTGGAACAGAACAGAGAGAGCTCTCTCACTTCCCTGACACGTGTTCTGCTATTCCACACGTGTCGGAGTCTTACGTTTGAACTGTTCGCCGCTCTCCTTCCCACGTGGCTCTTGCTTGATATACTAAATTCGACGAGAAATAAAAGGCCCAATGGGCTTGAGATATAAACCGGGTTTTTGAAATCTCCGGTTTAAAGACGAGAAACGTGCCACGTGTCTCATCTTTGAGATCTCCGCCTCCGCCCGTCTCTGTCTCTCCGGAGTGAGTATTTGTCATCTCCGTCACTCCCATTTTCTTCTACAGATCTCTTTCACTCTCTCTCTAACAAGTAACAATGCATTCAGCTCTCTCTCTTTCCTTCTCACAGGCGTCACTTCCTTTACCGAATCGTCCGCTCTGTTCATTGAACGCCGCTCCTTCTACGCCGAGGAGTCTCCGGTTCTGTGGACTCCGGCGGGAGGCGTTCGGTTTCTCCCCTTCGAAGCAGCTGACCTCATGCCGTTTCCAAATTCATAGTAGGAGGATCGAAGTCTCTGCCGCTGCTTCTTCTTCTTCCTCCGCTAATGGCAATGGAGCTACGTCGAAATCGTTCGATTATGATTTGGTCATTATCGGAGCTGGAGTTGGCGGCCACGGAGCTGCATTGCACGCCGTTGAGAAGGTCTGCTTTCTTCCTGCTTCTAATTTGTAATAAACAAGCTCGATTATGTTACTATGCTTTGCCAATAATCTGAATCAAATTGATACGGATTCCATTTATCTTCTCAGAACACGAATCGACTCGTTCTTAGCATTATTTTTCTTAGGCTATACGAACTTGAAGCTCTTACATATGTGTATATATGGTTCATCTAAGTCGTATGGCTTATTTGTGAGATTATTTTTCTTTTCCTCTACACTCTTGCTTGATTGAGCCGTTAAATTGCGAGATTTATATTGGGATCAAATGCTTTGTTTATATAAAAAGGGTACAATGATTCATAGCAACATCGTACTATCTTGTATCTATTACTGTAATTCAACAGGGTTAATTTTTGTTTCGATAACGTTCTTTAGGGACTCAAAACTGCAATCATTGAAGGAGATGTTGTGGGAGGGACTTGCGTCAACAGAGGGTGCGTGCCTTCCAAAGCTCTCCTTGCTGTTAGTGGTAGGATGCGGGAGCTCCAGAACGAACATCACATGAAGGCATTTGGTTTGCAGGTAATACTAAATGATGCTGGCTTGTAACTGATAGTCTCACGCTCTTTAGACATATTTAGATTCAGAAGCTAGGGTTGACTCTTTTGATTTCTTCTTGGAATGCAACTAGTAGTCCTTGAAATGATTGTAGATGTTTAAACGTTTGATTTCGATTGATTGTGAGGAAAGTAGTATCGCCTTGGCTCTGATTCTACCTTGCTTCCTTTGTCTCCTCTGGAACAGGTTTCAGCTGCCGGTTATGACCGTCAGGGTGTGGCTGACCATGCGAGTAACCTGGCTACCAAGATTAGAAATAACCTCACCAATTCAATGAAGGCACTTGGTGTTGACATATTGACAGGCTTTGGCTCTGTTCTGGTCAGTATGTTATTGTCTTTGGTTGATAACTTCACATGATATGCTGTTTCTTAGTTAGCGATCCTAATACTCTTTAGTCTTTTGTGTACTTGTTCAGGGGCCACAAAAGGTTAAATATGGAAAGGTCGGTTTCCCTGACAATATTATCACCGCCAAAGATATAATCATTGCAACTGGATCTGTACCCTTTGTCCCGAAAGGAATTGAAGTTGATGGTATGTGTTTTGTTTTAAACATATATATTCTAGGGAGGATCCTCAATGCACAAAACGTCTCGTCTCTGTTACTGATAGTATAGCAAGTCCCTTAAAATTCCGCATATTTTTGCTGTAGGAAAGACTGTTATCACAAGTGACCATGCATTGAAATTGGAGTCTGTTCCTGAATGGATTGCGATAGTAGGAAGTGGTTATATCGGTCTTGAGTTCAGTGATGTTTACACGGCCCTTGGAAGTGAGGTAACATGTTAGTTTGTAATATTTATTTGCATTAGTATGAGCAAGTGGTGTTTGTTTTCTTTCAGTAAGTTTTTACTTCTCTAAATAGTAACAGAAGGCTCTATTGGTAATCAAACTGAAAATGAGCTATTGCTATGTTTTGTTTCTTAAGGATTGTGATGCAGTAGAACTTCATGAAGTGACCAAAGTTGGTGCAAAATTTTGTGCAGGTAACATTTATTGAGGCTCTGGATCAGCTGATGCCTGGATTTGATCCTGAGATCAGTAAGCTGGCTCAAAGGGTTCTGATAAATCCAAGAAAGATTGACTATCATACTGGAGTCTTTGCAAGCAAAGTAAGCCTTTTTATATGTAATTTCTTTCTTATACAGCGTGTTTGTGGATTTATCATTTGTTTTTAACTCTTTTTTACAGATCACTCCAGCAAAAGATGGAAGACCAGTGTTGATTGAGCTTATTGATGCCAAAACCAAGGAACCCAAGGATACTTTGGAGGTAAACAAAATGTCATACAAAAAAGCTTTTTAAGTACCTCTGACGCTTGCACAAAAAAAAAGTACCACTGACGTTTTTACAAAGCTATCTATCTGAAATGATTTAAGATGTTGCATAAGAGAATGACTGTGCTGCTGCTTAGTACCTATATCCGAGACTAAATCTCACCTCACGTCCTACCAGTTATGTGCTTTTAGTGGATCCCTAGAAATCTTTTCTCACTTTTTGGTTGTCACAACTCTCACTACGATATTGTGGCACTTTTACTATTTCCATGTGGACTTTCCACGAGCCGAAATATATGAATTATTACATGCATACTTGCGTAGGTGAGCTAGGGCTTCTCATTTTCTAGAGTTTGATATTTTTCTCCCGCATAAAAAAATAAGAAACAGAAATGTTTTTGAGTTCTATCACAGCTGACACTTTTATGGCTTTTTTTTTTTTCTTTTCTCAAGGTGGACGCTGCTCTTATTGCTACAGGAAGAGCTCCATTCACCAGTGGTCTTGGCCTGGAAAATGTAAGAGATGAAAATAAACCGCATCCTCTTAGCATCGACTTTTGGTTCTCTGAGTTTATATGGTTATGAAAGAGAAATAACATTGACGCTCTGTTTTCCGCACAGATCAATGTAGCGACGCAGAGAGGTTTTATACCAGTTGATGAGCGAATGCGTGTTATCGATGGGAATGGAAAGCTGGTTAGTGTTAATTTCATATTGCACACCTTATGACTTTAACCACCAGTTCTTAACGAGCCGCTCTTGGGTTATAGGTTCCACACTTGTACTGCATCGGCGATGCCAACGGTAAAATGATGCTCGCTCATGCTGCCAGTGCCCAAGGAATTTCTGGTAAGTTGATTATCAGTATTCTGTATTCCATGATATATAGATCAGTCTTTGTTTTTCCACTTTAGTACACAGCTTTGTGATAAACTCTATGCATCTACTTGTGTTTGGCTAGTGGTGGAGCAAGTCACAGGTAGAGATCGTGTGCTTAATCATCTTAGCATCCCAGCTGCTTGTTTTACTCATCCGGAAATCAGCATGGTGGGATTAACAGAGGTAACTCTAGACACTAATAGTGGATTTGGTGTTTCTTTTCTAAAATGTAACCGCAACCTTTCTCATGTGTAAATTCTTAGCCTCAAGCGAGAGAAAAAGCTGAGAAAGAGGGATTTAAAGTAAGTATTGCCAAGACAAGTTTCAAGGCAAACACAAAGGCCCTTGCTGAAAATGAAGGAGAAGGAATCGCCAAGGTTAAGAGAACTGAATCGTTTTTTTGTTTGTTTATAGTCTTCGAGTGACCGAGAAGATATCTGAACATGCTCTTCTGTGTGCACAGATGATATACAGACCTGACAATGGTGAAATCCTTGGAGTTCATATATTTGGATTGCATGCTGCTGATCTGATCCATGAAGCATCTAACGCCATCGCTTTAGGAACACGCCTTCAGGTGAGGATTGTCGTTTTCGACTAAACTAAGCTGTTCCTGATTTTGATATTTGGAATTTGGATTATGAGCTTTTCTGGGGTTTCTGTGATGATGTTGCAGGACATAAAACTTGCGGTTCATGCACATCCTACGCTTTCTGAAGTTGTTGATGAACTGTTTAAAGCTGCCAAGGTAAAATATACAAGAATCTAGATTTGCACATTCTTTGATCGATATAAAATCAAATCTCATATTACAAGCAACCAACTCTTGTTTATCTTCAATTTCAGGTCGAAAGTACAGCTTCAACAACGGCACAAAGTGTAAAAGTCGCTGTTTAAACAAGAAGAAATCGAAAGCAGCCTGTGACAAAAGTTTTGTGGAAGAAGCTATTTGTACTTTAGCACTATAGCAACATTCGATATGTATACTCTTGATATCACGTATATTTGTTTCATGTTTCTTTTTTCAATTATATCTGAAGATCATTATTTTTCATTTAACAGAACAATAAACAAATAATTGGTATACGCATAATTTATATATTTATTATAAGTCAGAAATCCAAAATAGAAAACAGTAAAAGGAGAAACTATAGAAGAACAGCTAAAAAACGTTAGCTTTCCAGTCACATAACGCATTATCAGACTACAAACCACAATCCCCTCCACCAAACAAACAAAAAAGACTAACGACAAGAGGCTGTTTGGAAATTTCCCAGCACCAGGGTTGATTTACCATAATACCCTTCGAAGCTTTTTTCAAAACAGCTTCCGAAAGGCTGAAATTGCCCCTTGTCATTTACACAAATTTACAGTTCCACACCATTTCCCTTTTTTATTTATTTATTCAGCTCTCCATATCCATTTGATCAAGCTCCTTAATCCCATCAAACTCCACCTGTACCACATTTTACGTTTAAAACATAATTTAGCCATCACTATATATAATGTGAAATTGTGTTTTTTGGACTACATATTGGTATTGAGTAAAAGCAAAAAGTAAGAAACAGAAGTGATTTCACCTGAGCTTCTTCATGAGCCAGTTTCATCCTTCTGTAATCTTGCTGAGCCTTCTTGGACCGGAACATGGCCTGTACTCGAACCACTGACCTCTCGAGCCGCTCCTCTGCTTGCTTCTGGCTTGTCTTGTAGAAATCATCCACCGTCTCAGCCCCTTCATTCTCCTCAGGCTGGCTAACCTGAAGCCCTCTGAATCCTTTTCTCTTCAATCTCCACCTCAGAATCGCCTTCTCAAGAACTCCCACCGACCATGTTATCTTCTGGTACTGTCTTCTTACTTGGAACCCTCTAAACGCAGCCTGCATCACCAGAAAACAAAATCACATCGCGTATTCTAATTGGTTGAAGGGTTCAGATTAAACTGATAGCAAAACAAATCTTTTACCTGAATCCTAATTGCCTTCTTCCGCATGTTCAGGAACTCCCGCCTCATTTTCCATGTTTGGAACCTGTACTGAATCCGAGCAGCGGCTGCAATCTTCCTACGCGTCTCGAAATTGCGGAACGCATGTTGAATCTTCATCGCAGCTACTATGGTTTTGGCCTCTTCTTCTTTGCTAGCAAACTTAACCGCGCTTGACCTGACTTTCAGCTCGTGCTCCCTGAATGCTCCCTGAATCCGTGCCGCCGCCTCTGCAGCGGTTCTGTACGCCGCCAGAGTGTCCTTCAGGCTCTGCTCTTCTTCATTTGCATACCCTGATTTTATTGACGTCTCTGCCTTGATGCCCTCGAGGTTGCCTGTCATGTTCCCAGCCATTTTCATGTCCTTGAACTGTGCTACAAGACATTTCTCAGCGAGAAAAGCTGCTAAACCGTCATAGCCTTTCTGCTGTGCCAGATCAGCTGCCGTACACCCGCCGAGGTATTCCTTAGTCGGGTCTGTCACCAAGTTTGGCCTTGCCCCAGCAGAAAGAAGAGCAGCCACCATTTTCTCCCTTTCAAAGAACAAAACTTGGAAAATAAGTAAATAAAACGAAAATAAGACTACCAGATCTCGTATTACTTAAGAGATGCAAGTTATTTCACCTTCCGTAGTATGCTGCCCAATGAAGAGCGGTCCAACCATGCTTATCACGGAAATCCAACGATATACTTGCCCAGGAGAAGAGAAGGATCGACCAAGTATATCCAAGGACGGCACAGAGGTGGATCACTCCAAGGCCTTTTGTGTCATACTCCTTTGTGTTGCGGTTTTCAATCACTTTCTCCAAAAGCCACTCCTTCACCCTGTTTTTCAGAGTAAGCTCAAAGAGATGGTCCCTCGCTTGATCAAACGGCACCTCATTCGCCTGGATTGACTTCATTAAATACGCCCAACTGTTTAAGAGATGTGAAGTCCTGCTGGCGAGTTTCTTAGCCTCTAGCAGGTTATCAGGTGAGATTTTGCTTGAGAAAACGCTGATTTTGTTCGTCGAAGTGAACAGAAGATGAGCAAGTCTGACTTGGAACTCAAATTCTTCCCACTTTTGTAGCTGGTCGTCTTGAGGGACAACTTTTTCGATAACTGGAACTGAACGGTGTTCGAAGCTGAATAATTGACTGATCGGTTTGTTCCCATCGGCACTTAGATAAAGGTTCACCACCCCAGGGGATTGAGGGGGAAGGAAGCAACGATAAACCCCCATCTGCAGAAATTCTGCGGGGACACGCAAGTCTCCACAAATGCAGAAAAGGTTTGATCTTTCAAAATGTTGGAAGCTTTCGTGAAAGAACCCAGTTACAAGAATCTGCAAAATAAACATGCAAAAAAATTTAGCTCTTTACAGCAAGAAATGCTTTAGATCCTGACTCGTAGAATTAAGACACAATATGTAACAGAGACGCAATATCACAAAGTAATGCTCCAAGCTTCATCTATAATTCATATTGTGAATCACACTATACACAATTTCATACTGCAAACATACTAATCGCATGCGTAAGACCTCAACAAACACACACAAAAAGTGAGACTTTAAGATAATTATTAAGCTCCTCTTTTTAAACAAAGGTCTAAGGTGTGCAGTTTTTTTACTCTTTTTCCCTTCGGCATCATGACCGAAACAAAAATTCTGTGAAAGCAAGGTTTTGTTCGGTTATAGGATAGAACCAACCAGTGGTGCCATGATATAGAAAAAAAAACGTATATTGGGAAAGCAAAGAAAAGGAAAGAAACCTTTGTTTTCTCTGTCGAATAGGCCCAGGCAGGTGAAACATCAGTAATGTTGAATACTTGCTCAGGTATGTTAGACGGAGAATGATATACAGTAGGAGGAGCAGATGATTCCTGCCCAGGTGTATATACAGCGTCTTGGGAAGGATCCTCCACTGAACCAGGAGAGTCACTTATGAAGTTGTTTACCCACTTTCCAAAACTATCCTGACTTCCATAACCGTTATTAAGCAAAGCATCACCCGGTTCATCAGCAACTGCTGCGTTGGAATCCCTTCTCTGTAGATTTGGATCTACTACACAGTGCGTATGCTGACTAGAAAATTCTCCTGCACCACATGAATTATTATTTTGATAAACAGGATCTCCAAGACCGAGAAATGATGGTATATCTGCTGATCCATTGTAGCCTGCGAGGTGATTTCCCTGCACAATGAACAAGACAGCAAAATGGTGAACAAAAAGATAGCAAAAGCAACTTACAGGCTTGAAAAAATCAATTGCACTCACATGATTTCCAGAGCCTCTAGGCGCACTTTGGAGCTGTTCTGTGAAGTATAGCACATCGTCTGTAAGCAGAGAGCAATGAAAATAAAAAGTCAGGTGTTTTTCAGCATCATTTCATTGCATCCTTTTAACAACAAGCAGATATTCTACTTGTGAAGGATGGGGATGTATAAGTACCTTCTGTTGGTAAAGACTGGTTGCCAATATCTGCTGGTACTAGAAGTTCATCCCAATCAAGTGTGTTGATCTCATGAAGGCTAATATCATGGTTTCTAGAACCCAGACTGTTGCTTCGAACTTCAAACCCTTAAAAAGAAAAGTGTGATAAATATCTAGCTTTCTAAGAGATATTCAAAATTTTATTATAATTCCTAAAAAAATTCTGAACAAAATCCGGAAGAGTTGCCAATATACATCAAAAGTTTGAATCGCAAAAGCTCAAGATCACCAAGAGACTCCTTCTCACCTGTATTACCAGCATTACGAACACCAGAATTGATATCTTCAGCCACAGGTTTTGGTGATAAGTGTTCAGTGATCGAACTTGAGTACGAGTTCCCAGGTGTTGCTGGAGCTGCCTGAACCTGTTTTACCAAAATTCCTCAGAGGGCTGCAAACGAATACTCTCTTTTGTAACTAAAAACTGCCAAGAGAAGGCTGTAAGCTATTCAACAACAAAAATACATCATCCTAATCCATAAGCACTTCTAACATAGTTAAAAACATAAGAATAAGCTGGGAACAGATAGAAAACCTCATGCGTCTCACGATAGTGGACAAGAACTATGTGCTCCTGAGACCTGCCATTATAGAAAGAGGTGATTTATTCTCATAACCTTAAGAAATAAAGCAGAGGAAAGAAGGCATTTAATCAATCATTTGTTGCCACATACTTATCCAATAACCAGTAACACCTTCGAACAAATGTAGGGTTATCATCACCGTGGGCATAGTAAACATGAATCCTTTCCTCGTTACCAACCTAGAGATGGCAACAATAATATATAGAGATCAGAAAAGAACTTATATATGTGCTATAGAAGAGACAAACGCAGGTATGAACTCAAAGACACTAAAGAAAACTCACTTTTAGGTGTTCATGAGCTTCCTTAATTGTCTTTCCATCCTTTTTCTTTTTCCAGTTGTGACCATCCTTTCTGAAGTTCCTCAGCATCTTACGGTCGAACAACACAATCGTGCCACCTGCCAAATATGAACAAATGAGAGTCTGACTAGAGATTTATCTAAGTTAACGTTACATATGCCATTAACAAGTTCCTAACAAGAAGGATCAAGTCCAAAGCTTGAGAGAAGAACCCAAAAAGCAAAATTTTGAAGAAAAAAATAACTTCTGAGGAGGCAAAAAAGGCCATGGCAAAATTAATTACTTTTGGGTAAGTTCACTGGCTTGACGTTGATGGTGAAGTATCTATGGTTACAGAGAAGAGCATGGATCTCATTTGGCCTGAGCCACCTACTGTATGCTTCCTCCAGCATCGTTTGTATATCCAGATCTGCAACACACAACCAACACTGTCAAATTATCGACAAGAAAACCTCAAGGAAAAACTTTAAGCACAAACTCATGTATCTTTTCAATATTCTTCCCCAATTTTCTTTTCAGGTGAATAAAGGATAACTCTGAATATACTGAGACATG